CCTCATGAAGTTCACACGGGTCCACTTCTTGAACTTATCCAGGTCCCTCTGGATGGCATCCTGTCCCTCAGGCATGTCAGCTGCATCACTCAGGTTGGTGTCATCTGCAAACTTGCTGAGGGTGCACTCGATCCTACTGTCTATGGCATTGATGAAGATATTAAACAGTACTGGTCCTAGTACGGACCCCTGCGGGACACCATTCATCACCGATCTCCATCTGGACATTGAGCCATTGACCACTACCCTCTGGGTGTGACCATCCAACCAATTCCTCATCCACCAGACAGTCCACCCATCAAATCCATACCTCTCCAGTTTAGAGAGAAGGATGTTGTGGGGGACTGTGTCAAAGGCCTTACAGAGGTCCAGGTAGACGACATCAGTAGCCCTTCCCATGTCCACTGATTTAGTCCATCTTAAAAGGTCACTATGTTAGTCAGGCAGGACTTGTCCTTGGTGAAGCCGTGCTGGCTGTCTCAAATCACCTTCCTGTCCTCCATGTGCCTTAGCATAGCTTCCAGGAGGATCTGTTCCATGATCTTCCCAAGCACAGAGGTGAGATTGACTGGCCTGTAGAAATGACTGACACCTTTGTATGGTGTTACACTTCGTTCTGTTTAATGCACATTTTGAAAAGAACTTACTGGCTTTTTGACTTAATTCTCATTTTGAGTCCTGAGAAGTCAGTTTTGCTATTTTTACCTCCCACTAGGTAAAACAGGAATAAGTAACAAGCAGCTTAATGGAGAATGCCTCACAAATCCCTAGCTGTAGTGTTCTACACAAAACCAAAAGTGATTACTCAGTGTTGCTTTTTAAAATATTTTTTTAAGTTACATGTGTCTTCATTTGCTTTTAATAGTACAATGCATTATTGTAATATTAATATGGTAATGATATGTAATTTTCTGTTCTTAATATATTCCTTCAGATATCGATGAATGCTCCTTCCAGAACATATGTGTATTTGGTACCTGTAATAATCTACCAGGAATGTTTCATTGTATCTGTGATGATGGCTATGAACTAGATCGAACCGGGGGAAACTGTACAGGTATGTCTCTTCTGTTCAGAAAAATGTCAAGACTTTTTTTAATTGCACCAAGTTAATTTAAAGATGAGTTCACAAAACATACATTGTATTCTCTTACAACAATCAGAGTGCTTTTTTCCCCACTAAACAAGTGATGTGTAGAATTGCATGCTTTGGAGTTGGTTTAAGAATGGAACAAAAAGAATGGCTTCTTAAATATGCAGCTGTGCAAAGGTTATTCTTAAATGTTTGATTTCTTCTTTTGTTCAATTTCTGCTAAAATTCATTTGCATTTGAAATTTTCTTGCCTGTTTTGTCTTAAAAAGTAAAATTATTCTTTTCTGTCCAGTGAGCAGATTTATAAATGTAACTTTCCTATTTCAGATATTGATGAATGTGCCGATCCCATTAATTGTGTTAATGGTCTTTGTGTAAATACTCCTGGAAGATATGAGTGTAATTGCCCTCCAGACTTCCAGCTGAATCCTACTGGGGTGGGCTGTGTGGGTAAGTAAAAGCTACCTGAAGTATTACTTTAGAAATCAGAGCCAAGGTGACTGTTCTGATGCAAAGGAGAGTAGCAAGACAGAAAAAATATACTTCCACATACTCATGCTGCATATCCTGTTATGTAGTTTTCTATAGATGGAGTTAATTATTTTAACTGATGAATGGTGTTTATAGTTTCTTTAAAATATACCTTTTTAAAATTTGTCGAAACATATATTAGCTGCATTTCTATTCTCCTGACAGTTAACAATTCTTATTTAAAAAACTTAATTTTTTAATCCTAGATATGTCTTGGGACTGATTTATGTATTTAGCTTAAGTCTAAACTGGAATTAAAACTGGTTGTGGTACCCATTTGGCTGGAAACAAAGTAAAAGACATGTTTCACTGTAGTTTATGTAATTCTCTCTGGCTTACACTGGCTTAAAGTGAATTTTTATTACATTTCCCCCTTGCTACATGATATAGGACTGTCAGGTGATTAGAGTAGGGAAGTTTTTTGGGAAGAGGTGGGTTGAGAGAGGGGCTAAGATTCAGCCAAAAGGATTTGTGTGTGATCCTGGGAAAGCCTTCTAACTTTTTATTTGGAAAACAGCCTTTTTATTTTATTACCTTGGGAAAACTCAAATTCTCCTGAATTGGTGGTTAGAACTCTGTCCATTTTCTAAATGTTTACAGTGATACTGCAGTGTGGTGGCAAATAAATACATTCTAAGCAAATAATTTCTAAAGAAATGCGTATTTCCTTCAGAACAAATTTTGTTCCTCATCTTTTCCATGTTTCTCCATTTTCTGCCTATGAATATTCTCTGTTGCTTCTCTGGATGCTAGAAACAAGTCCTGTTTGAGACCTTCAGGTGTCCACAGTCTTGACCAATTTATTCTAAAACTTTAAGCTGAGATTTTTAAAGATGAAGTGAATTTATGTAATCTATTGGAAACCTGTGTTTCTGTCTCCCATAGACTTTTCTGACAATTCCTGCCTTAATAGTTTTCTTCTGCAGTTGCAGTCTAACTTAAGCTTTTAGCTTTGCCTCATCTGAAGATTCAGTTGAAGCAATGAAATCCTGCCTTTTTGGCTCCCCTTCTGCAGCATGTAACTACTAAGATCCTCATTCTTTCCTACAACCAGATGCTGTGTATGATCAGCCCTGCAAGCTCTGAATTATGACCAAAGAATTTACATGATCTCTAAAGAGGCTTATGAGAATGAACTATCCTACTGCTAGCTGACTTGTGTTTTGCTAAAAAATGGCACTCTACTTTGGGACCAGTTGTCCCAATGACATTTTTGGCAGGGTTCCCATGCTTCCTCAGTGAAGCCTCCACAGTGGAGGGGAACCTACTCAAGGGTAAATCTAGCAACTCTACAGTCCCAAATGAAAGAGCAAGCCCTCCCTCTCTGAAGAAAAAATGTTGAATAAGAAAGTGGTAGAAAAACTATTTGACCCTTCCTTATTTCTCTCCTGAGGAAATACTACTAGGGCTGTCCCTCTCTCTGGTACAAAGACTCTTTTCCTTTCCCTTGTGTAAGAAGCATTTTTAGTTTCTCAACAACTGATTGTACAGAAAAGAGACTCCCAAGACTTAGCCCCCTGAGCAAACATGGGTGTTTTGGTTGGGTTTTGGATTTTTTTCAAGTTCAGTTTCAGACAGTGGTGGAACTGGAATCCACTTATATGTCTGTGGGAAGAGCTGCAAGCCTTGGGTGTACGCTTCCCATCTGTCTACAGCCTGATTCTATAACAAAGTGCAAAAAACACTCAGTGAACATTCAGCTTTTGTTTTTGACAGGGGTAAGCAAAGCCTCTGCTTCCCATGAAATATCATCAGAGTAAGTTAATAGGAATAAAGCCCTAATTCATGAATGAAATTACACTTTAGTGCCCCTTTTTTTTAGAAGCCCTTGTGCCACTAAAAACATATTAGTTATACTATTTTATACGACTATAGGCATTGTTAGGTTTTGGACTTCTTTTCTTTCACCAGCAGTTCTTATTTGTAATATTTCCAGAGGGTTAAATGATTTTGCAGGGGAAGTGGAAACAGAGAGAGTTGCCATTCCAATGCAGCTATACTAGTTCTGGTTCTAGATTTGGCATGCTTTCGGTATGTCTACTTTACTGACTTAGTCCAAAGAGGGAAGAACTGAAATTCAGTTTGCTTGTGATCCTTTATAGTCTCAGGACTGCAATTCCAAATTGCAGCTTCACTTGCAATGATGTTTGTGTCACTGGCACATGGTAAAATATTACCCAGTTTTCACTCTAAGCTTGTAGTTATTTGGAAAAAAACACCCACAGAGGCTAGTAGACCTCACCAAGAAAAAGGAAAGTTTCTTGCTTCTGGAACGCACAAGTTGTGCTGCAAAATATTGCAGAAACTTCTTGTGAAAGGACAGCAGCTTCTGGTTCTCTTCAATAGCATTATCTCTTGCACGCTTGAGCAAAACAGACAGAGGAATTTAAATTCCAGTTCCTTTCAGAAGAAACAGAAATGTTATCCTTGGCAAAGAGGAACATGGTGCCGTGTCAAGACAGTTCATGTGAGGAGTGAACCGAAACCTAAAACTCTTGATGTACTCGGTGTCGATATTCTGCTAGAGAATTCCAGACTCTGCCTTCGTTCCAAGGTCTATGGTCTCCTGTTGTTCTTAATGGGCCTGAGGTCTTGGGCTGAAGCCGTCTTCCAAAATGGTCATCGTTTTTCACTTTTCCCAAGAAGAATTAAGCCAAATCTCTTCTTGGCTTCTCTTAAAAAGGCAGATGTCTCATGCTGTCAGGGATGGAGAGAAGTGTGCAGTTTCTCTGAGAACAGGAGGAGATAGGTATTCTCAGAATAATCACATTTGGGTTGTTTCAGCTCAAATCCACAATGAGAACAACAGCATGTGCCCTTTTAAAAAGGCTGTTCATTATACTCTCTTCTAACATTGTCTTTAAAAACAACAAAAAAAGGACTTCCACTCTAACATATGCTGATCAGTGATCTCAGGTAAATCTTGCCTTTAGGGAGATAAAGATATCCTTCTTGAAGTTTCTTCTCTTTCCATCAGAGGCTCAGAGATACAGAATACATATGCCTCTGCCACTGAATTCTTAACTGAGTATTTTAGTTTTACAACAGTGTGCATTTATGGTGAGATACTGAAGTTTGTTGTAGAATATGTGGGGCCCAGGAACATCCTCCTTTTTCACAATCTCTGCTACAGTATGGTCTTAAAACTGTGCAGAAAGATTCACCCAAACTTGTCTATTAATGCTTAAATTTGAACAAATTTAAATCTTTTGGAAAGCTTGAAGGTTTTTTCTTGATTTATGTTACGACACTTCAAAAAAAAAAAGTTCAGCCTGAAACTTAATGCGAAGTTGTGTTTTTGTATTATACATACTTAACTAACTTGAGGATCTTGAGAAAAAGTCATTCCGAACAATTCAGAAAGTTCTCTTCAAGTTCTTTTCATAGATATGTCCCAAACCTGAGGATAATTTAAAAACCCATGTCATATCAAGACATTTATTAAACTCTGGAAATTTTGAAAGTGTGGACTACCCACATTTATCATACTGTGTTCATTTTACTCTATGTAAATTGCTAAGGCTGTAGCATCTGGCACTTGGTGCAAGCAATAAATAAAAAATGTCATATTTCTTGGTAAAATACGCATTTGGGAAATCATTCAAAAATTCATTTATAAGTTTTTTAGTCATACCATTAACAGAAATAATAAAAATGCAAAAAGATACTGCGGCCTTTATACAATGGATTTATCAAAAAATTTTTGAGTGGGTTCTGTGCTTCTTTAGAGGCAACCTTTGATAGAAATGATCTTTAGAATTATAACACTACTCGTGAGGAAATTAATGTTCATCTTATTTGGTTGTAATAAGAAATATTATAATAATTGACTATCCTCTCATTCCTTATATTTATGACTCACGGCTAGTTACTTTCCATTTGTAAAGAACAAGGAGACAGTATGTGTAGCAGTAAGAAAACTCATAGCTTTACTTCTCTTAGATTCCTTGCTCATTCTACTAATGCCAGCAGTTGTCTAAATCACTAAGTTACAGTCTGAGTGAACTAATAAACTAATTCTCCTCAAACCTACTGCACATTTAGATTATTTGTTTCAATATTAATGGGTTTTGGAGAATTTCTTTGCCAGTGGAAGAATTCTTCCAGTGACATGGCTTTATTCTGTGATTCGATAGAAAAATATGTGAATTCTTCTAGTTCCACAAGAGAGAGTCATAGCCTAGTCACAATCAGAATATGGAGAACAAATACTAACAGCAAACTGCAGCAAGGCTTCTGATATTTTCTGGAGTGAAAGAGTGGGAGTAGTGTATGTGCTACATTAGAGTACGATGTGACTTTGGAAGACGTGCAAACATTTTGAACTTGTCTCTGGGTACTTAGGAAGCTGAAGCTACCCATTTTCCCTGCTCTCTCTCTCAACATCAGTAACTGCTGGTGTACATGAGTGTTTTGAGCTTGCCATATGACTTCAGAAGCACAATGTTGTCTGAATTCCTGCTTCTTGATATGAAATGTTAAAATGAATGCCTGCTCTTCCTTTGTCCGGATCATTGTGTAAAGCTGTAGTCATACGTGCTTTATGTGTAGATAACCGTGTTGGCAATTGCTACCTGAAGTATGGACCACGAGGGGATGGGAGCCTATCCTGCAACACTGAAATTGGGGTTGGAGTCAGTCGTTCCTCGTGCTGCTGCTCTCTGGGAAAGGCTTGGGGAAACCCCTGTGAGACGTGTCCCCCTGTAAACAGCAGTAAGGAAACGTTCTCTTATTTTCCCTCTGCCCTCTTGTTATAGAAGATGTTAACAAGGGATGGAAAAAGTATTTGAAATCTTTTACTGTATTACTATACATTTATCATTTAAGAAACTGATCTTCTTCATGAGGCAGTGTTCTGGCATAGTTATAAAAGAAAATCTCCCTACTACTGTGAGAGGGGTGATGCAGAGGTGTGGACCTGAGTATCAGACGACCTGACATTTAGTCTTCTGTGGCTGACTTGGTGCTTATTCTCACAGTAATAAATCAGTGGTAACTTTGGAAGGCGCTTCCCACTGGCCCAGTCCCATGTACTTTGGGTAATTTTGGGCACTTTATTTTATTTTGCTTTTACTTTTCTCCCATTAAAAAAAAAGTTAAGGTAGTTGCAGATATGCTTATGTGTCTTAAGAAAGGAATGGATTGCATGCATCTACTAGGAATTTTTACTCAGCAACTCCATGTTGTTAGGGAAGTAAAGAAATAAATAATGCTTAGAACTCAAATCATGCCTTTAATTTGGAGAGCTGCATAGTTCTCAAAGGAGAGTGTTGGTAACTTTTGGGTAACTATTTCTAAGTCACTCTTGAGTACTTTCAAAAATGTTACCCGATGATACTTACCAATTTTGTAGAGATTTGAAGTTCTTTGAATGAATAATGCAACAGAAATGTTAAACAATTCAGTCTCATAACAGTATAAATTCCAATTTTAACATGTATCTTTATCAGTGGTATACTGACATTTCATATTAAAGAACCAGTCAAAACACGAAGTATGTGCCTTTCTAAAGGCACAGTATGGAGAAAACAGCATTGCGCCTGCCTTAAAAGTATCTGAGGTTATGGTAAAGTTTTAAGCAGAACTCTTAATCTTACCTCGATTTTCTACTAATCTAATGCACTTGCTTTATTTACTGTGCATTGGTCAAGAAGAGGAGAAAACCAATGAGCGTGGGGAAGAAGACACATTAAAAACAGAAGTGAAATTTTATTTTTCTGTTGTTAGCATTTTATTCTTCATATGACTGACATGCTCTCTCTTGTTTTACTTTAGCGGAATATAATACTCTCTGTCCAGGGGGAGAAGGATTCAGACCAAATCCCATCACTATTATTTTAGAAGGTGAGTTTATTGTAAATGACTGTGATGACTGGTAAAAAAAAAAAAGTGTCATCTTCGGAGAGATATATACAGGAACTATATGTTGCAGAAATCATTACATTTAGTGCAAAGCAAAACCCTCTGCTAATATGAATTGGACAACAACATGATGCAAAGGCATACCGTAAAAGAATATTGAAGAAGTCCAACAATATTTCAGTAGGAAAATAAGCTGATGTGTACCTTTTACGTACCTTTTGTGTGCCTCTGTACTTGAATTGGCCTTTGAAATTGGCCCCTGAAGGATAAGTCATTTATGAAAATTATAGTTTATCAGTGGAAGGTATAAGTTTCAGGAAATACTCACTGGACAAAGAAACTGAGTGTGCAGGAATGAGGAATTGGATGCCAAATTCCTGTGAACAGTAATGGAAGTTGAACTCCATGGGCTCATCAAGCAGAAACGTGCTCCTGAAGAGCTATTTAAATGGAAGAGAATGAGCAACTCATCCATGCTTTCATGAAGTGCAATTTAGAAGCAAAAAAAAAAATCCATGTGACAGTTAAAAGCTACTAGTTGGTAAAATTTCAGGGGAGTAGTTATAGTCTCTTGTTTCTTTTCATTCTGGAATGGAAATATGGTGGGCTTTCTTCTCTGTTTTCAGACATTGATGAATGTCAGGAACTGCCAGGTCTCTGCCAAGGTGGAAATTGCATCAATACTTTTGGCAGCTTCCAGTGTGAATGTCCAAAAGGCTACTACCTCAGTGAAGAGACAAGAATTTGTGAAGGTTGAGTCCCTTGAAACCTCCTTCTCTATCACAGTGCAGTTATTATGAAAAACACTGTCATTTTGAGCCTTAAATTCATAAGTGGTTATGGTACCCATACCCTTGCCTACAATCTTCTCTAAAATCATTATCTTTGGCATCAGTGATATGATTAATATAAGACTTGAAATGCAACACTTGAATATACTAATGTTTATTTCTACATGATAGATCTCAGCTATGTGTATTCAGTAAACTAAGGTGGTTATTCATGATTTCTGGCTTCTCACTGCAACACCTTGTATCTCCTGCTAGTTTCACTAGGCTCTCTGTATTTTAAGTGAGAAAAGGTGTTTTCTCTTCACAGTATTTTAGAGTAGCAGTTTAATTTACACAACGTGAAGTAAAGTTAATATTGGTCTTCCTTTTGTCTTTGAGATTTGTCATTTTAGAACCCAAAATTGTAAATAGACCCAAAAATGTAAAGAATCTTTCATGGTTTCTCTTAGTTTGGAGTGTTGTAAGTCAGCTTCCCCTTCTTCATTCACTTTGTGAGAAAAAAAATTTGTCTCCTTTCAAAACAGAGCCTGTGAATCCTGAGGCTTTACTAAGCTCAGGTGAAAAAAACTGACCAAACTGGGTTTGCAATTAAAATTGTGTGGGCAAAAAAGACTTATACCCCAAATACCTTAAACAAGAAGATGCAAGGTTAGAGCAGCAAGACTATGCAATTATTCATATCACTCCATATTGACTGGAAAGATACAGCTTGACTAGTTTGAAGGCACCAATCATTCCCCCTGGATGAAAGAAAAATTCAGGAAGAACATGCATATTTTCCCTCTCAGCTGCCCCTGAATGCAAGCCCTCCAGTTTCAGTGGTAAATTCAACAACTTCGAATTTATTTAGGGTGTTCTCTTGCACTTCACTGGCTGGACTTAGTATGAGGTTAACAATATTACTTTGCAGCAGCTGTTACAATAGCTGCTTAGCCCAAATGTGAGCTGTACTTTCCAAGTTAGCCTTTAAATGAAACATTTTTGTTATCTTAGCATGGTTTATTATGGTCATATTTCTCAGAAACATTTGCTAGGACTTGTTCCTCTTTTCTGTTGTTAATTGTAGTGATTTCATTTGGTCTCTAGATATTGACGAGTGTGTTGCACATCCTGGTGTCTGTGGTCCTGGCACCTGCTACAATACCTTGGGGAACTACACCTGCATTTGCCCACCTGAATATATGCAAGTGAACGGAGGACATAACTGCATGGGTATGCAAAATCTCATCTTTACTAGAACCATCTGAAGATCAGACTGTTTCGGGGCCAGACTCTCTGCTTAAAATTTCCTTTCAGATGAGGCCAGTTCTAAAGCTTGTATTGCTTTTTCCTGCCTTTAACTCCCCGACAGTTATGTCATGTAGCCAGGAAAGAGATCCCAATGGCTGATGTGCAGTGTTCACGTGCTCTTATTCCTTAACAGATCTCAGAAATCTTTTTTCTATTTTCACTAGTCATTTCGAAATGGTAGGGTTTGCTATACAAATGGATCTGATGAGCATCTACACTGTGTTTCTGATTTCTTGGGAATTTTCCTTTTTCCCCTTTGTGTCGTTGAATGAAAAATGAAAATACGTCAAATTTCAGGGAAGTCTAAAACAAAGACTGTAGATTACTTCTATCCTTAAATTATTTTTAAATGCATCCATGCATATGGTTGGGTTGCATTCAGAAGCCAGAGTTAATGAACCACTGTCTAGGTTTGTAGGGGGTTGATATTTACTTAAATTAGTTTGGTTTTACTTTGTAAATGATTCTTTTCTCACATCTAGATATGAGAAAAAGCTTTTGCTACAGAAGCTATAATGGAACCTCCTGTGAGAATGAACTGCCCTTCAATGTAACCAAAAGGATGTGTTGCTGCACATACAATGTTGGGAAAGCATGGAACAAACCTTGTGAACCATGTCCAACTCCAGGAACAGGTAAACCCTACTATAATCATCCCATTTTGTTACTTTCTTTGCTCATTTACTCCTTTGACCTATTGGCTAAAGTTAACATTTCAGCCCCAAAAAACCTTTGCTGTACTCCCAAAGCAGAGTGACAATACCCCACCGTCCTGGATTCATCCTCGGTGTGCTAAACAAGAAATAGGTATTTCTTCCATATTTTTAAGTGGAAGAAGTGTCACTCCATATTGAGTGGAAAGATACAGCTTGACTAGTTTGAAGGCACCAATCATTCCCCCTGGATGAAAAAAAAATTCAGGAACAACATGCATATTTTTCCTCTCAGCTGCCCCTGAACGCAAGGACAAGGGAACAAACTATTGTCAGGTGTCGCTGAGATGAATAAAAAGGCCTGGAGTGTGTAGACTGACCTTCCCATCAGCAGCAGGAGTATGTCAGTGCTGTACCTAAAAGGATGTTTTAAGACAGGTATCTGTAGGTAGATACAATTATTTAGACCTCTTTTTTGGTGATGGGGCTCTATAAAATGAGTTTGCTGTGATTGTTTTATTCTTTCTTTCTAACAAATGCCAAAGCTTTCAGAGGTCTTGTATGGACATAGAATTACTTTCAGTTACTTAGATTTATGTCAAAAATTTATATTTGTGTAGGTAAGACCCACCAGGGTGGCACAGTAGGCACAAGCAAGTTTTCTGAATGCATGATGACAGAACTCCCATCTCTAAAGCTGGGAAGTTTCTGGAAGAGCAGTCATCAGGCAATAATACTGGGGTTGAAGATACTGGCTGATAAGAGATGCCTGTTGCCTGGTCTGTCTTCCAGGATAATTAGTTTAGGATAGTATAATTGAGTTACTGCATAGTTGGGGATACGTTTATCCTGGTAGTACTAATCTGTCAGAATAAAAAGATTGGGTTTCATTTTCACTTGTGTCTCACATCTGAGAGTGATCCTTTCAGTTGCTTTTACATTTTCTCTATTGAGGGTGATGAACTTGCAGAAGCTCACTAAGTAGGGCATTGTAAAGGGAAGTAAAAATTCCCTTCTATAAAGGGAGGTGAAAATAATAAGGTACGGTTCTTTTTCAGTTAGGCGTTATGGAGTTCCTTGCCTGGAACAAAACACCCTTGAAAGCTCAGCTCAGAAAAATCATTGGTGGGAGAGTCACCAACTTGGAAACCTGACAGTAGCACCTGGCCTTCATTAAAAGATTCTTATATTTGTAAGAAGAGCAAAGGTGCCTAGATAAAACTCAGATGCCTGTACAAACACATTCTAGTGTTTAATTGACTTTGCCCCAAGTTTACTGCCACTAAACCCATACCTCTGGTGCTGCATCATTTGTGATGTTAGGGTAAAGAATGTATTACTTTCACTCCAAGTAGTTTATCCTGGTGACATAAGGGAAACAGCAGATAATTTAAGAAAGACTTTCCCCCACAAGCAGTGAAGAGGAGGAAAATGGGACTGAAAAGAAAAAACAGTGTCTTCGTTTTCTTTCTTAAGTAGGAGGAGGCAGAATGAAGAAATGTTCTTAGCAGTCAGGAATGGGAGATGGAAATAAGCTTGAGAGAGGAAATACATGTTTGCTATCACAGAGAGCTCATAAAATTCTTTCCCATAGTCATTTATCTCAGTGCCATAAAATTGTCATCATGATGACAACATGATGAGAAAAATACAGCAAAGTACTAGCAGGGATTCATGCAATTAATATTCTTGGATGGAAGAAAGAATTCGCCTTTTAAATTGGTAAGACTGAAGTTTTCAAAAACTTCTGCAGCTTTTAAAGATTTGTTAAGACAACTCCACTTAGTCTGCAAGCAGTTACAGGGTTAAAATATTTCCCGAAATATTTCAATATTGCCTTGTTAGCTCTTCTAAATGCCTTTACTGTATTTGGAGACATGCTTGAACCTTTTTTGCCATGAAAAGAGATTGTGTGAGGGATCAAACACAAATTCCAAGTGTAAATGGTTGAATAGCTGCACTTATGTGGTATAATCAGTTGTTCTGAAATCTGGGTGGGAGCTACACATCACAGACAGGGGTTACGATACACTGACCTTAACCAGTTTGCTAGACTGAGCCCAGTAGCTCATTAAGAGCATTATTCTCTCTGATGAGAATTATATTTTTCCTCTAAATGAACTTCACATGCCAACGCATTTGCATTTTTTTTCCTTTGTGAACAGAGCTCTTTCTTCCTTTTCATATATTTATGCTTAACAATCAATCTCTGTTTGATGATTTTAGGTAGTAAAGACTGTATTGCTTGGTTATACACATTATACAGATCATAACCATTACCATACAGACTTTAATCAGAAATAATCATTCTTGTTTGGGTTTTTTTTTCACACAAAGAAATGTAAAAAGCTGCTTCACTGCTAAGAACTCTTACAGAACTCTTTCATGGTTTGATCATTTCCAGAGTGCTTCACCTCAGAGAGTTTTTTTCCTGTTCTGTCCTAAAAAATAATATAGTGATAAGTATATGGGTTTTTGAAATATTTTTAAAGTCATTGATGAAAAGTCAAGTTTTTGGAAAGTAAATCTCTGGCATGTTTGTGTATGGATAATTTGGCACTGTATAACAGTCCTCACCTTATCATATACTCTTTTTCTACACAGTACAAACTGAAAAAAAAATGGAAAAACTCTATTAAATGGAATGCATGGAACATGTAGGTAGCATAACACAGGATGAAAGAAGGCCTGCAACTCTCAGAGCCTCTTCTTCAACCTCCCAGACCTGATGTGTTGGGCATTATCACAGGAGTAGGTTATCATCACCCATGGAGACAGAGTAGTGAATACAAGGCCCTCTTTTTATCTAGTATGTTTCGCAGGTTTACTGACAGCAGTAAATGGCATAAAGCTCCCTGCAGAAAAGAACTGTTTTCTAACCCTCAAATCTTATAAATGTTAATCTAAAAGAGCAGAAAATTGCTGAATGGTAAAACACTGTGGCAGGAGTATGGTCCAGTATCCAGCACTGCAAGAATAACCTCAGCAGGCATTAAGCAGTCATTAAACAATAGGACAGAAAAAAGAAGAAAATGCTGAAGTTCAGGTATACTGGATCCTACTTGGGTTATACAGGAAATAACAAAGAATGTTTGAATATGAGAAAAACATTTTGCCAAATCTAATTCTGAGCAATGATCAACTACATTTGCTAAAATTTTAATAAATAAGAATGTTTGGTGTAAGGGAGACAAGAATTATTCAAGTTATAACCCCAGTGGTTAAACTTTACAGCATTATAAGCTACTGAAGAGCTGCCATTAAAATGTAGATGATCAAGAATCTCAAACTACAGCCTGTAGAGAAATAAACTATCACCACTTTAGATTAAAGATCATTACTCGCAGGAAAACAAAAGGTCTCCTTTCTCTTTTTCTGGTGCTAGAAGAGGTGACTAATAATTTGTCTGCATTTCAGGTTTAGAGGTGAGTTAAAGGTAGACTCCATATGCTCCCTCTCATTGGATAGATAATAGGCTCCCTGTAGGTCCTCAGCAGCACGAACAGTGGACCAAGCACTCATGGAAGTCTCCAGAGACTACACTTCCAGAACCCCTTTAAATTTTATGTCAATGGGATGTTTTTGTAAATTTTATCCACATTCTTTAGAAGGATATTTTACTTTGGCTTAATGCCCTGAATGTACAAATATCTACCACGTGCTTTGGAATTTTTCCTTAACAACAGTTTGGAAACTTAATATTGAAATATACTTACTATTTTTCTGGAGAATTTGAATGCTGATAGGATCTAAAAAGATGATGAATAGCAGCTGCATGATTATTGTTTGCAAACACACACTTAAAGCAAACTGTTCATTCAAACAGGTTGTGTCGTCACATGGGAATTATTTTGTTCCCCTCAAACAAGTGGGCTGTCAGTACACAATTCTACTGGTAGTCTGTAGTTTTTCAGATTTGACATAGTTATAGTTGTAGGCCTGTCATTTTTCATATTTCTACCTAGATCAGAATTTGTCAACATACTGTAACTGTGTAATACGTTTTTTTCTGGAAAGCAGTGTTTTATCAGTAAAATCTCATGCCAGCATAGATGCTTTATAACGAATAGGGTTTTTAAAGAAATAATTATTTCTTACATCCTGCAATAATTAATAGATTCCATGTTAGAAAGTTTTCTCTGTGTGTTGCAAATCCACTCAACTTCGTACACCTTGCCTGGAAAACCATGGGTTCATTGATTTTATACTTTATACTGTGCATTTCCCATCCTCAAGATGCTCTGGAAAAGGGGATATAAAATGAGCATACTAAAACAATGCTCTTTTTTGGAGCATCTTTTTTTAAAGCAGAGTGTCCATTCTGCTCTACAGTTTAGTGGAACTCAGCTGCAGTAACCTCTGCAGAAAAGAACAGAGATAGTATCGTCGAAGAAGGCTAGGTGCTGGTAAGTTACATTTATTTCTCCTATCTGAAACTGTTGCTGCAGATTCTCTCTACCGATGTCTAGAAAGCAGGAATAAACCTTAAAAGGTAAGTTAAGGAGTTCTATTTAAAACAAAAACTGAAGTGCTGCTTTCTCAAACCAGACATTTACTCAAGCGAAAGTCTGCAAAGATTTGAGAAAAGAGAAGTATGAATTAGTGTTTCAATTTGCATTCATTTATTGGCAATCTGAATTTTCAATACAATTTGTACAGGAGGCAATGGGTTTTCTGAGTAGATTTGGCTTGTATCAGATTTTGAAAAGCTGCAAAGATTACAAGTAGTTCTTAGGAGATTTATAAATACTCACTAAAAATGCATTATTCTCTGTTTTGCTCTAGCTGAATTCAAGAACATATGTGGGAATATTCCTGGTTTCACTTTTGACATTCATACTGGAAAAGCTGTTGGTAAGTTTCACTAAACTTATTTTAACGAAAAATTGTTTTGCATAAGGTTGTTGCAGCTGCATAATGGTACCAAAATGAACATTTCATATAATAAAATTCTAATTTCATTATGGAGTTACAATGGTGACATAAATTGTGAGACCAATTTATGTGTAAAGTGTTTCTGATTTATATTTTTTTATTTCTACATTTTGTTATGATCTTTTGCTCACCCTCCATCCTAGTTCACAGGTTTGAGTTTTAATTGGTAAAACAAAAGGTTTTGGCTTCAAAAATGTTGTGAGACTTATCTGCACATTTGTAACTGTTCTGCATGTTGTCTAATATTTAGTATCACTCTGTTTTGATCACTTCCTGAACTTCACATAGTTTATTTTCTCTCATAATGGACACATGTTTAGATTTATATCCTTTATACAATTTCTGTAGATTGAAAGGAACTTCTCAACTCAGTTTTAAGCGTAGTGAAATTGAGAATCCAAGCAGTATGTAAAGCCATGAAGTACTGTACTTTGACTAGCTCATCTCACTTTCAGACATTGATGAATGTAAGGAAATCCCAGGAATCTGCGCAAATGGTGTTTGCATCAATCAGATTGGTAGCTTCCGCTGTGAATGCCCCACTGGATTCAGCTACAATGACCTGCTCTTGGTCTGTGAAGGTGATTTGAAACGACGGTTGTTTTCTACTTAGGCCCCATAAGCATGCTTATCTTAAAGGGAAGGAGAACATTTAATTCACATGTTTTTCTAAATGTAAGAGATAGACTGTGAGCTTTTTTGTAGGGCTCAAGTCTATAAATCAGTATGTGATGTGTTTGTCTTTAATACATATGCACATGCACTTAATAAAATTTGTAATAGTTTTGTGTCAGGCAATTCACTGACTTCTAAATAGAAAGTAAATGAAATGCTTTTATTTGATTTGATTTTATTTTAGGGAGGAAGTTTAATTCTTGTTCTTAAAACTTCTCAAAGAAAAGTTTTCTTGATTTTTTTCTGTCTTTTGTCCGTTCTTCTACAGTTTTCTAGGTAAAGATATTCGTAGAAGCTAATAGTGAAATTTTGTGTGTCCTCCAGTCAGTAGGAGTTTTGTCATTGGTATTCAAGGGTCTTGTGCTGCCATGTGCACCTTAAAAAGCTAACAAACTGTGCCACTTACTGTTTCAGATCAAAGGCGAAGAGGAACATTTTTTAATACAAAAACTAATTTCTTTAGGCAGACACTTAAAATTGCAAAACCATTTCAGTGTGTAGTAAGTTTCATAGAATCCTCCTTCGTGCAAAATGTGTGCTGTGGATGAAATTGTATTGATTTTGCTTTTCATTTGCATTTATGGCACAGGAAGCTGAAGGTCAGAATATGCGTGCTCTGTTGAGGACAAAAGATTCGTCCTGCACGAGACAGACAATAGAGTCTAAATTCTAGGCAGAAGTAACTGTCTCATGACTCTTGTATTTCAGATATTGACGAGTGCAGCAATGGAGACAATCTCTGTCAGAGAAATGCAGACTGTATCAACAGTCCTGGTAGTTACCGCTGTGAATGTGCTGCTGGTTTTAAACTTTCACCCAACGGTGCCTGTGTTGGTAAGAAATCAGTTAACTTTTCTATCTGTTTGAATCTGTTTGTACCTAATCAATGGTATGTGTGTGATCCTCTCGAAGGGTAAAAGCATCATTTATCTTCTGTTACCTTGTGTATTCTGCTGTTTTATGAAACAGTTTTTACTTTATAGCCCTGTTTCTCTGTAGAAGGGAAGAAAAGGCAGGGTAACATTTTTAAAGAACATTCTTGATGCATCAACCAAATCCTAACAGTAGTTTTGACCTCGAGGTGTATAGGCAAGAAGTTCCTATAAAACAAAGTTTTGTTATGATTCAGGTTTAGTTATGGATAACTTTGAGTCTGGTTTTAATAACAATAACAGATTGTAAAAACATGTTTGTGTAAAATGAATGAATAATAAAAGTCAATAATGTGTACCATCTGTTTTATATTTTTGTTGTAGATCGCAATGAATGTCTGGAAATTCCTAATGTTTGCAGTCATGGTTTATGTGTGGACATGCAAGGAAGTTACCAGTGCGTATGTCACAATGGTTTTAAGGCATCCCAAGACCAGACTATGTGCATGGGTATGGAAAGAAAATGCTTTTGTGTGTGGCTTGTCTGGGTTTTTTTTTTAAAAGGAGGAGGAAATGAGTCTAAATTTTTGAGGAGATTACAGTGACATTAAAAGACCGATTCATACATTTTTGGATTTTTGTGACTAACATATGTGAAGTTGTTCTTGGAGTGGATATATTAGTTTGAGGAAAAAAATCACAGTATTCTCAGAGATAGCTCCATGTTAGTGAAGAATATATTAACCCCATTTTCACAAAAATATATCTTAGTGGCTTATTTGACAGAGACATTTATAGGATGCATCATAGAGTTCGGAGACAAAAAAAGACAGATTTTTCAATTATTTAGAAATTTATTGAGTTCATGTTTCATTTAAAAAACAGAATCCCACATTTAATGTAACTTAAATCTATACTCATTTTGTATTAAAATGATGACATGATAGAGATGATATAAGAAATAAGAAAATTGCAAAATAAGAGTGTTTTTCTTGTTCCTTTAATGTTTTGTAATCAGTTCTACAGGGTTTTAAAAAGAAAAGGTGATGCGTATGTGAATTTGGTTCTCTTTGAGAAAAATAGCCAAAAAATTATTTTGATTTTTGAAATAATGATCATCTAAATGTCAGTTCTAAGGTATAGATAAGTTCAGTGTCTTCTATAACATAAGTGTGTTCCAATTTCAACTTTAAACAGACATTTAAAACCTATTCACATTGTATTATGTATTCATATATGCCTTAAGTCTTCTCATATTTGGACTAAATCACATTTGTCAAACCATCTGAGGGGGATATTTGGGAAAGTGACTTCTGTTAACAATGCAGAATTTTGAGAGCCTTGTTACTCAAAACAGTACCTTAAATAATTCTAAAACTAATTCTAAAAATTTCGTAGTATGAAATACAAATCTAGATAATGACAGGTTAGGGAAATGATCCATATGACAGAATGTTTACCTTCTGTAAATAAATAAAATGTTTCAGAAAGTCCACAAGAACTAGGAGAACAAGATCTAAATACCTTCCAGATCCCCATGAAACTCCAGAAATTACTGAAACATGCAGCAGGAAACATTGAATTTTAGTGCCTTTTAAAAATTGGTGTTTCCAAGAGTTTGTAAGCAGTCTTTATAATTCTGGATATAGTATTGACATAATACATTTACATATGTAAATTGACTTGTGAACAATGATACAAAACTCCTTTTTAGAGCGTTTTCAACAGGTTTTCATGTGCATAAGAGTAAAATACGTACATAAAATTTGAGATCGTTCCAGGGCTGTGATGCTCAATCCTTTGTACTAAATTCTGATCACTAGTGTACATTAATAAATTAAGAAATGTTAGTATGGAGAATAAAAAGACAGAATGCTTTGAGATACTGCACATGCACTTAGTTTTATCTTTGCATGTTACAGTATCTTTTATTTTAAAATACATATAAAAAATGCGTCACGTAACATTTTCCTATGTGTACTCAGAAACTGTAAAAATAAATCGTATAAATAGAAAATGTGACAGATGAAAGGACAGACTGAGGTTTAGAATATTGTCACTATTGCACAGGTAACATGTTAACACATGCCTGGAAAATCAGTTCCCACATACAGTTTTGTTTCTCTTTGCAGATGTTGATGAATGTGAACACCATCCATGTGGAAACGGAACTTGTAAAAACACGGTTGGGTCATATAACTGCCTATGTTATCCGGGATTTGAATTAACTCATAATAATGATTGTATGGGTAGGTGATGTAATCCAAACTTTATTTTCATTGCTGCTGGCTTGGTATGGCAAGGAGGATGGTATATAGTTAAACAGAAGACAGGTCAGGGTGCTAAGTTAATTGAATGCAGTAACTCAATACTGTTACTGTTACTGATACTGTTACCAGCCCTAGAGGTTAATCATTACTATCATTTTTTAAACTAATTAAAAATATTTTTTACTGGCCAGCTTGAGATAACGTAAACCCTAAATCTCTGGACCACTGGGACAACTTTACAGTTCACTGGCATTTTAATGCAGCCCTCACCTCCGTTAGATTTCCTGGGTAATTACAGCACATATCCATAGGCACCACTCGCAATAAGCATGTATTATGTCACAGCACCAGTGTTGCCTCATGAATTTAAAATCATTTCTTTATTTCACCATATTACTTGACACTTGCACATGGTCTGAAAGAGGAAGCAGACCAGCAGTAAGAAAGCCAGTACAACTGACCTACCAAATCTGCTCTCCTAAGGTGAACTCTGCTCATACAGAGTTTGTACAGGCATTGCTATTTCCCATTCCCTAAAACACAGGACACCAGAATATCTGATGGTTTTGGACAAGTTATTCCTGGATACTTGTGATAAAGCAACTAAAATCTCCCTGGGCCGACGAACAGTCTCATATGTCTCTGGAGATCCTCTCCCTTGTGCAGAGCATAAGCCAAAAGAGAGGAAGGCTTTACATTCCTTCCTGCTACAGAAGGAACACAGAACAAAGTCTACTGGTTCCTTTCTGGTTCAGGAGAGAACTAAAACATCTTAAATAAGTATTTTAAATCCTCTCCTTGTCCAGGAAAGAGAAAATTAAAAACTTGTTGAAGTAAGCAGAGTCTGCTGCCAAAGAATGGCACTATTTGCCAAGGAGGTTCTTTCCCTTGGCAGTATAGCTGCCAGTCTACTGCCAGGAGCGTCCAGCACCACTGCTCCAGGCTGAGCCTTCAAGAGGCCAAGGAGCCCAAGCTGACTCAGAGACTTGGCCTTTTGTTAGCACTCCTCCTGACAGCTTGGAGGGCCTCAGGGCTTTCTTCCAAACTATCCCAGTCATTCAAAGGCAATTTAGTCCATCCCAATATAATACTTTGGAGGTATTTCTGCTTGTAGAACTGAAACACAGAAGAAATGCACTATGGAATAAACTAATAACACAGGCACGGCTGTACTGGCTGAAGCAGAAGATACATCTTTTTCAGGAGCTGGTACTTAATGCTTCTGAAGAAGACTAAAACCTCGTCAGTAAAACTGAGTTAGTCTTCATCATTCAAATTCAAGTATTGTAAAACAGCGAAGTGTAAGTTGTTCTTACACTATGATGCTTATCCGATCTTTTCATTTATTCTGACACTTTCTCATCTGTATTTTTCCTTATGCAGTGCTCCCTTAAGTCTGCATTATTAAAGTAACTCTACAAACTAATAAGCATTTTCAAGCCTCATTTTCAGAACTGTTATGAAGGAGAAAATCATCCTGCGCAAAGCAAATTACATACTCCAAAATTTGAAAATGACAAGGCAGGCTTTAGCAGGAAACTCGAGCGCATATAAATCCAGATAAAATCCAGAGCACTCCATGTAACGTTTTCTTTTCTGTGTCTGGAGTTAGTATCATACAGTCACTTGACAGTAATTGAATGTCTGCAGATGCAGTAGCTGAGGTAATGCTGCAAGTTTGAAAATTATAATACCCTATAAAAAAGCGTGTTGTTTAAATAGAACATACACCTTAATGCACTTGAGTGAGAGTTACTTTCCACTAGCTGTCAGCTGTTCCCTTGTTGCTGCAAGATTTGCCTTTTCCACAGAAATATATATTGCAACTTGAGTGTGTTTATAACATACTGTATATACTATTTTGGGACCCAACTCTCGCTTCTGGGGTTTTATTTTGTGGTTTTTTACAGATATCGATGAGTGCAGTTCCTTCTTTGGTCAGGTGTGCAGAAACGGACGGTGTTTCAATGAAATTGGTTCCTTCAAATGTTTATGCAATGAAGGATATGAACTTACTCTAGATGGCAAGAATTGCATTGGTATGTATGATACCACACGGAGATGTTAAAGTACTGATGAGCTGAAATAATCAAACTATTAGCTCCCATCCAGAGGGAAGCACCACAGTCTCAGTATCTGAAAAAAAAGACAGTGACTTTAATGAAAACACAGTAGAAGTAACTGGGTTTTGGAACAGTTGTTGATCTTCAAGCATTTAAATGCCTTAGAAAAAGAAAATTAGAAAAGAATCCTACAGTCTTTTTCATGAATAAGCCTGTTGTTACCATAAGAATTACGTGATTCTAAACCTTTCTTGATTCCATCTACTCTCCAAAGATACTAACGAGTGTGTGGCACTACCCGGTTCATGCTCTCCTGGTACCTGTCAAAATTTGGAAGGATCATTCAGATGCATCTGTCCACCAGGATATGAAGTAAAAAGTGAAAGTTGTATTGGTAAGGCAAGTTGTAATTGTTGCTTCTGAACAATTTAAAAATTAGAAGAAGTATCTGGTTCTAATTCAGTGGAAAGAAGTTGTACACCCTAAAGTTTGTGAATGTTGCCCGACTTAAAATCGTGGTGACAGGGAAATAAGTAAATAGGAAAAGTCTTCAGGAAGAGGTTTTAAAAATGGAAGGCAAGATATTTTGTACTGTATTGTACTATATTTTGTACATTAACTTCTTCATTAATGCAAACAAAAATATTTACTTTTTTTTCTTTCATTCACTTTTTTTTTTTTTTAAATATCATTCATAAAACAAACCAACCTGTGTACTGGAGTTATATAGTGTTTACAGAAAGGTAATTATTGGCAATCAATGCATGAACTAAGTTCCTGGTTTCAGAGGGCTATGAAGCTTAAAAATCTTGATAAAATTGTGGATCTTATGGGAACAATTGCTTAAATTGTTTCTTCTAACAACTGTTTTCTGATTTTGTGTTTTGTATAATGTCTCTCAAGTGCTGAGATTCACAGGGGGAAGAAGAGAGTACAGCAGACCTTTCATCAGTTTGCGTCTTCTTATTTGTTCATATAAGCTCGTTTAAAACCTTAAATATCATTCAGGAGCTGAATGTCACACAATGAATTAAGATTTGGTGTGGCAGAGAGCGCAAAATAAATCCAAGTTACAACTCCCTTTTCCAGCAGAGCAAAGGACAGGACTACTGTGAATTCGTTGGGCATTTAAATTAACTATATGGGTCACCTGGCAAGGAAGGTGCACACAACTAGTTTTAGGTAGTTATCCTAGAAGCCTTAAGTTTCTGCATGGTCAGAGGACAGAGTAAGCACCTCTCTCTCCAGTGTGACTACATTAAGAAACCTGGTTTTCAGCTTAAATGACTGAAGTTAGCTGGTGTGACACCCAGACACACACTAATCCAAATAACTCCCAATAATAAATGAGCAGCGTGTCCTTGTATGGACTGAAGAAAACACTGGCGAGGACATAAAGATTTGGCTTATAGCCACCTAATCTGTAGGGGTGCAGGAACTGGATCACAGGAACCTTTTTGAATTTTTGTCTTGAACAACAGGATGTATTTTCTAAGCCCCAGAGTTCTCTCATCCATTTGTATCGTGCCACCATACTCAGTTTGTCTGCCAACTTCATGGTTTCTTTTGGCAGCTGCAGTTTCCATATTAGCAGTTATGTTTGAGATGAATTCAAATCACCTACATTTGTAAAATCATGAATTTAAAATGAAAGTTATTGGTTTTCCAGGAAAATCACTGTTTATGGCCACTTTAGTATCCTGACAGAATCTCTTGATGTTTTTGACAGCATCAGTGACTGCCAAACAGGTTTTTGCCCGAACTGAGTAAAAGGAACTTAATTGCATTCTTTTTCTTCATTCTACCGTATGTCCATAAAATTCGCAGCTAAAGTTCCTAGAAAATGCCTAGATAATCATGTGTGATTGTACTAATACTTTGATTAATATTATGACAGCTCTTGCAACATACACTCCCCATTACTTTCCATTGATCTTATATGCAAACAGATTTATAAGAATTCATTACTTCTGTCTGTAATGTGAAGGTTTGCAATGGCTAGATTACTTTTTGAGCTCAGGGTGATTATATGCCAGAGAAACCAAAACAGATGGGAGCCACAGAAAAATTCTTAGTTTTCACCTACCCATGTAATATATTTCCTTTCATTTTATGGGAACGAAGGGAGAGGACTCGTTTACTTCCACAGTCTGGCTAGTCACCTGTTCATCATGGCCACAAAAAGAGTTTCTTCCACTAGTCCCAAGCCATTCATTACAGTAATAATCAGTACCTCAGAAGAGCAGTTTTTCCATCCCATTAATGCAGCTGAATTGCTGAGCTTTGTATATTAGCAACTGCCACACTAACTGGGAAATCAGTTACCTTTTTTTCACTGAAATAAGCTGACTTTAAATGCTTCACATAGTAAGAGCCTGTCCATGGGAAGCTACTGCAGAATTTGGTCATATGCCAGATTATGCTACAGTGGTTTGTTCATGTGCTGTACCTGATAGTAACTTCTGAAAATGGGACTCAATGTAATATTTTTCAGAAGTAACGTCACAGAATCTATTCCTACCTGACTTCTTCCATCACTCCACTTATATTTTCCTAGTGATAAAGACTGTATTTCCATTGTTTCCTTATCTGCTAAATACCGGTCAGTTTCCTAAGATGCAGTATAGTAAGAGAGTCCAACAAATATCAGCAAAAATGGCGCTACAAATTTGTGACTCAACATTCATGAAACTTACTTTCATGGAGAATACCTATTCCTGCCTACACTTATGATTAAGATCAATATGGATATTATTGTAGAACACTTATACAGCCGTAGGTCTCTGTGATGGATCTTTTAATATCCCGTACTGAAAGACTCAGGAGGGGTTGTACTGCAGGTATAGCTTTAAAAATTATTAAAATACACTTCACAATTTATTAAATTACAATTACCTTTACAAATTACTTTAGCAAGGAGGCTTATATCTTCTGTCAGTATTTGCAGAATAGAATAAATTAAAATATAGTTCAAAATAGTAGATATGAAAAATTAAAGGCCTATTAATGTATTACTTTTCTTACTCTGTGTGTTGTCTATATAGATGCAGGATATGCAGCCTGATACTGTTTGAGCAGGCACTTGGTGTTTGTATTAAGTACTCCTATTTTGGTTTCAGTTTTTAATAATTATAAAAAGATCTCTATTTAAAAATAAATTTAAATCTCACATTTCAATAGGCATAGCAATATATTCTGAATTATACAGTTGAACAGGAAAAAATTTTGAATAACATCAAGAGTGACTGTGGAAGACTGGTAAATACAAATCTGAATATATAAATATAATCATAGGTCTCCCTCTACTAATAACTAGCTATAGTTTCAATTTAAGAATCAATCAGCATGAAAAAAGCCCAGCTTTAAATACATAGAACCCCCAACTTACAGATTTTTAAAAATTCATCTTTGGATGTTTTATGTTTACAGAAGAATATTTTTTGTATCAGAAATATATCTTCTCCTCTGTTTCAGTCTGAAAACATTTATTTAATGTTTATATTATAATTATGACAAAGAACAGAGAATGGTATTTGGAGAGGAAGGTGCATGCCAGTGAAACGCAATAAATTTGAAAGAGTTAGTGAAGCCTTCAGGCTGCTTTCTCTCTTGGGTGCTTTATTGGAGGAGCACCTCCTGCTAAAACAATCTTTCTTAACCAAGGAATTCACAGCCAATAGGGTTATGGTGAACCTTTTCTCCTTTGATTTATAGATATTAATGAGTGTAATGAGGATCCCAACATCTGTCTCTTTGGCTCTTGTACGAACACTCCAGGAGGTTTCCAGTGCATCTGTCCTACAGGTTTTGTGCTGTCTGATAATGGACGGAGATGTTTTGGTAAGTTAATGATGAAGGAGTGTAGTAACTTATTCTAACAGATAACAGATATTCTGTAGAATGAGTAAAAAGGGACCTCTGCAGGTCCCTTCCAAACTATGCCCTTGGGAGGGTTGGAAAGTGCTTTCAAAATAGTATGAAAAATACAGGCCTAATGTTATTCCTTTCAGGGCTAGACAGTCATTATCTAACCAGGTAGGAGGTGTTAGCTCCACGTAACTGTATTTTCTTTTCTAGATACTCGACAGAGCTTCTGTTTCACTAACTTTGAGAATGGGAAATGCTCGGTGCCAAAGGCTTTCAACACCACAAAGGCAAAGTGTTGCTGCAGTAAAATGCCAGGAGAAGGATGGGGTGATCCTTGTGAACTCTGTCCAAAGGAAGAAGAAGGTACACATCAAGATTTAAAATAAAGCCTTTTTAGGTGGGAGAAAAGGAAGAGCACATTTGTGTTGTACCTTTTTGATCATTAGAAGGAGAGATCTTTTTGGCATTCTCTCTTAACGGCCCTTTCTAGAACCATTTTCAGGTCAACAAAAGGAACAAAATTAAATAGAAGAAACTACAGAAAAAGAGCAATACTGAGTTGTTGGTTTTGCTCTGTAAAGAAATGAACTAGTAGCCTCCCTCTGTAGATCTAGCCTGCTTTAGGCAAAAGAGAACAGCAAAAGGGGACAGTGCCAAGAATCCCTGAAGTAATCCACAGTTTTAAGTTCTTGGTTTTGTCCAAGTACAGAAAGGGGAAGGCACCAAGCATGCGCACACAGAAGCTCAACGAGTTCTAGCACTGCTTCCCAGACCTAGAGATAGTGTTACTTTTGCATCTGGCAAGACAGCGTAATGACCGTGATTTAAACAGTTGACAGTTTTGAAGAATGTGATATAGAAGATTTTTGGATGGCTTTAACCATCTGTCATGGTTCTCTCTCTCACTCACTCTTTTTTTTTTAAAAACATACCTCTACAGTTGCTTTTCAGGACCTGTGTCCATATGGTCATGGAACTATTCCTGGAATTGATGATACACGTGAAGGTAGGTATTCTTTTTCCTGATAATTCAAAAAAAAAGTTATTTATGCTTAAAACTAGACTTGGATATTGTAGTTTGTGATGGCTTACTCCCCACAGCCCCAGGTGACAAGAGGCTGAGCTTTAATAAATGTGGACCATTATGAAATGACAGTTAAAAGATTACCTTTCAAATTGCATGGCTAGAGACAAACAGAATAGGGCATTTAGTTTTTTTAAAATGCTTTTTTAAGGCTTGATACAAAAATGCATCAGCTAAGTAGTTGCTAATATCTTCCTGCTTTTTAGATGTCAATGAATGCCTTGAAAGCCCAGGGATTTGCTCAAATGGTCACTGCATCAATACTGATGGATCATTCCGCTGTGAATGCCCCATGGGATACAACTTAGATTACACTGGAGTACATTGCATCGGTGTGTCCATATTTCATAAATTCTAAGAATTGTAACACTTGAATTTAAAACACAATTTGAAATGTGTCCCAGTTCTCTTCAGTTTGCATTTATTCATTATATACAGATACTGATGAATGTTCAATTGGCAACCCATGTGGAAACGGTACATGCACTAACGTGGTCGGCAGTTTTGAGTGCAGTTGTCATGAAGGATTTGAGCCAGGCCCAATGATGAATTGTGAAGGTAACTTGTCCTCTTTATTTTTTATCTTTAGTTTTTGTCCCGTCCTCAGTATTCAAATTACTTTATTAACCAGACCTTTGGTGCTATAATAACTAGGAGGAGAAAAAGTTTCTCTGCTTGAAATATGTTATTGAAGAAGAAGTCCTGAGCTGATTTAAGCAGTATTTTTAGTTCATCACAGGATTTCCCAAATTGCATGTTGTGGTATGTTACATTATTCAGCTGTTTGTTGGAAAGGGGGATGGGGAAAAGTAACTGTTGAGCCCCCAAAATATCCTCATAAACGGTATAGCTAACCATGGCAAAAATGCGTGAATTTGCAGAGCATTTTTCATAACTGAGGCAGAGCAGTTATGAACTGACCCACTTACCACAGCTGTAGTAACAAGTGAGTTATACTGAATATAATAAACTGAAGTCAGACCACTGGTCCATCTAGTCCGTTATTTCCTCCCTCACAGTTGAAATGCTAATTCAGCATACAGGCATGACTAACAGCTTGCTGCAGTTCACTCCTCTAATACAAGAGCTGAGGATATGGGGAAAATATGATGTAAACTGGGGATGCATCCCTGCAGAGTGGGTTTGGTCTCCACTTACGGATCTGTTGTCCAAGAATCTGTCCAGTACAGTCTTGAGTCTGCTGATACCATCTGCCTCCACAGCCTCTTGTGGCAGCAAGATCCAGAATGTCACTACTTAGAGAAGTATTTTCTTTCATCTGTTTTAAACTAATCCTCTATTAATTTCATTAAGTACCTCTTATTTTTTATAGTGTGGGATTTGTGTACAACCATTCTGCTTTCATCAGATGCTGATCAGGATGCTTCTTACAAATTTTGTATTTTACGAATCATAATTAGTTTGCTTTCTGAAGCAAGAATTCTGTTTTTTTTTAGAGTTGGGAAGAAAGCTGACATCTCTCATCACACAAAAATGCATTAAAAATGATCATATAATAAAAATCTGAAGTAGGCCTGTCCCAACTTCTCATTCTAAGCTCAAGTAGATCCATATTTATTATGCCATTATTTTTAAGTAGAGCTTTGTTCAGTTTTCTCTGGCTACTCAAAACCAAACATCCACAAGTTTCTGGTCTGAATTACTACATTTCTGATACTTTTTAGTTGACAAGAGAAGCACAGGTATAAGAATACCTTTCGGTGATTCTTTTAAAACTTAGTGGAGAATGATTATTTTGTTCCTTTCTGTTCAGATATAAACGAGTGTGCTCAGAATCCCTTGCTGTGTGCTTTTCGTTGTATCAACACTTACGGTTTCTATGAATGCACATGTCCAGTCGGCTATGAACTAAGAGAAGACCAAAAGATGTGCAAAGGTAATGACTGACGTATAAACTTTTCCCCAACTTCCATCACCCTGTACTGGCTAAAGCATAATCCAAATATTTCTGCGCATCTTGCATTCATCCTCTCGGTGGAATGTAGCAAACAGACCAGCAGATGATGATTTACTCTTTCAGAACTCATGTAAGACCAGTATCTAGTGTTTTTGTTATCAAGTGTACCCCCTTGACAGTGATTATAAAGCCAAGAAGGTCACAGTGGTGAAGTTCATCTTTAACATGACAAGATGATACAGCTCACAATGATTAAGACAACCGCAATTAAGCATAGCTCTCAGGTTTTTCTTCAGAGCTTGTTAGTGAGGGAAGTCTTTTTTTTTCTTGAGAAAGTGCTAGTTGTCTTCAGTAAGTGAAGCTACCGGAAAGAAGTCCAAACACAAAATATATTTTTTTTCCCAGATCTAGATGAGTGTGCTGAAAGTCTCCATGACTGCGAATCAAGAGGCATGATGTGCAAAAATTTGATTGGCACCTTCATGTGCATTTGTCCTCCTGGAATGACCCGGAGACCTGATGGAGAGGGCTGCACAGGTAAAGCTTAGAAAGGGGAGAAGACATCTACTGAAATACAAACAAGCAAACAAATGAGAAATTCTCTGTGTATGTATATAGTAAACTAGAAAATAGCAATTCATAAAGGACACTTAAGATAGCTAATGATGCCCAACATCTTAAACTTTCTTTTTTATGTCAAGCTTTGAGCCTTATCTGAAAGTAGTTCTAAATGTAGTAAGTATTTCAAAAGAACAACTCCGGTTTGTACAACAAAATCAAAGTTTTTCAAACACTTGTTAGATTTAAAAAATTAAGTTGCTAAACAAAAGAGACCTCATTTGATGAATAGGAAGCAAAATTATCATAAATAAGAAGTTACACTTCCTTTAGCATTAATACTGTTTATAAATAATGTGGCAGTTCCTTAAAGAATTAAAACTGTAAGATTCTGAAACAACATACAAAAGCCATGAAGAGCAAAAGGTGTGGAAACTGCCACAGTTCAAGATAATTCTCCATCCTGTAAGTAAGCAAACAGCTTTCCTCCATCATTTTCTCAATTAGTTGAGGGGGAAACGATAGCTACATTTTGGCAAATTATATTTTCTTCTGGTACATAAAAAAACCCAAGACCATTCCAAAGTTCTCTGTGGACAGAAGTAGCTGAGGCTGCTCCTCATTGGCTTAGAGGAGAAAAAAAATTAACATCCATCTCAGTGAATGCTTTAAGTGAAAATATTTTAAAATGGTGTTCCTTCAGCAAGAGAATGACTACTCTTCTTTACAGATCTTTATGATTTTTTTCAGGGGAGATAATCTGTATTAACAAGAATTTTGCCTTTTTTGCCATGTAATGCTGCCTTTAAATCACCTGAGGTTTTTCTGAGATTTTATTTTAAGCATCTATGAAGGTGTGTAATTGCTTACAGTATCTGTGTCGTTAGCTGTGGAAGAAAATACACTAAGATTGTAAACTGTTTCAGGGAAATGATGTGCAGACTGAAATGTGACTGATTGCGGAAGAGGTCAATGTATTCAGAGACTCTTAATGATTACAAAGTGAAAATTTGTTACTCAAATCATGCATGTATTCCAATTTCATTTAAATGTACTTGCCAGGTAAAAGTTATGGCTAGAACTTGCTCTGATGCAAGTGTTTTCTGCTTCTTGTTATAAGTTACAAAGAACATACAAGGATTAAAGCTTTCGTCCTAGGACGCAGTACATAAGGAATGGAATAGGATAGTGTAATTAAGTGTTACTAAGCCTTTCCAGGCTTAATCAGTTGTTGATTTTCCACTTCTTCCAAATATTTTGCAATTACACAGAATAATTAACGCATTCTATAAGTGATATATTTCCTTGTAACAATTTTTTTTTTAATTACATTTTTGTAAAGATGAAAATGAATGCCGTACCAAGCCAGGTATCTGTGAAAATGGTCGTTGCGTGAACGTTATTGGGAGCTACCGATGTGAATGTAATGAAGGATTCCTGTCAAGTCCATCAGGCATTGAGTGTCTTGGTAAATGCCTCTTTCGTATACATTTAATCGTACATTAAAGTATAAAGGATGTAGAGTGTAAATTAAGCTTCTGAGTACCTAACACTCTCATATCTGCAGAAACTAAATAGTGATCCTTATTAATTAAACGATGTTATGATATTAAATAATGATAGGAATGAGGAGCATCTTGAGAATGTCAGCTGAGTCTAGAAATCAGGAGCCTCACATAGAAGTGTCTAAATTCCAAAGGACAATATGGTGCTGAGCAACACTATCCAGACAAAATACAGGTATTTTCAAAGAAAAAGCAGAATTTAGTTACCGTAAATATATCAAAAACTGGGATGCAGAGCAAAATTAAGTGTTTCCATATTCAGAACGCGATCTTAAGCACCACAGTACTGCAACTAGGCATCTGAATTTTCTGTACTTTTCAGACAGTGATTGTGAATACAAAATACTAGGATTTCACCAAAAAATTGCAAGATATATTAAAAAGTTTTTGAGGCAGGTCTCCACATTAAATACTGATGAAGGAGTTTATATTCATCAACCTGTATTGCCTTTTCAGTATGTTCAGATTGTAATTTGCACTATAAAATTAAATGTTCCCTTTTTAGAAATCAAAAAGAACTGCAAAACCTTACTTTCTCATGATCAGTGTTCAAGTGTAGATACTTCAAAGTGTTTTACAATACTGAAACTGTATGAGTATGTATTAGTATTCTTGCATCAAAAATACTTGTGTATTATCTTATGCAAGTACTATAAAACCAGCTCCCTGTCAATTGTCATCAGTAGTGTGCTGACTTCATGGCAAAGCAATAACATTGGAAGAGCAGGGTATTTCCTAAGGATTAAGACCAGATGGGAAGAGGATGTTGCAGTCTGTTAACCCCAGCCAGTCATTAATGCCAAGCAAATACCCTGTTCGGAGGTCATTACTGCTTTCTTATATTTAATATATGATTTTTTTATTATTCTCTGAAAACTATGTTTTGGGTTAGTTTGCTCATTGCTGCTTTTCCTTTAGGGTTTCCTCGGTCAGAAATTACAATGAAAAATTAGTCTGGCAGAAACAAAGTATTTCTTCAGAATAAAAGCACAAACATTAAGTCTTAGATGACGTTATTTTAAATATATTGTGCAAACCGTTATATTCTGTTCACATTAAAATTTATTCCACATCTCAAATTGGGGACAAAGCATTATATGTTCCTCAAGTCATAATGTGCATGAAGACCTGCACAACATACCTATCTAGGAGAACAGAAATCTGCTGAGTCTTGCAAATTACTACAGCAAACACGCTGTCTCGCAACTGACACTTTCAGTGAGGACAGCTTTATTTCATGTAAACAGTTAAGTTACCGGGCCCCCAAAGTAAGTTTTGCCTAAAGCCAAAGTTTGCATTTTACCTGATTCATGTAAGAAATGTACAGATTCTACTGCTCATACTTGTAAAAGAGAAGGTCAGGTGGGTGTTGATACGTATATACGTTCTGAGGGATCTAAAGGATTTTAACTTTTAGCTTTAAGAGAAAAAAATAAAATCTTTCATTTAAAAACATAAGCATCTGTCAGACCATAGTTGACAATATCTCCGTTTTAATTAACAAATCAGACAGGTGACATAGCCTAGTTAGAAGATACCATCTCTGCAAAATTTAGAGTTTCCATTACACTGGAAGCTGGGATCTCTGCTCTCCTCAGCTGCTTGTTTGAAGGAAGTTGTAGGAGCTTAACGACTCCGAAGTTTTGCGCCTCTTTCATGATAGACAGGTATTAACCAAAAGATTTAAAAATTAAGGAAAACAGAATTAGAAAGGGACAGATCAACACTAAGGCCATATAAATCTTTCTTTTTCTCCCCTCAACAAAAACCAGGAGTGCCACTGAAAAAGTACTGAGTTGCATAGAAACTTCCAAGTGCTAAGGATTTTGTCATTTCAACCACAACAGGATAATTACAGATGATCAGACATGCTATTTTGGCCAGTAAAACAAACAAACAAAAGAAATTTCTAACCCCACTCCAAGTAAACCATTCAAATGCAAGCCAAATATAGGCAGCTTAAGTGGAAGCTCAGTTTGGCCCGTAGCCTGTTTTGCTATCAAGCAAGCTCACCAGATACGCCCCAGGGCACAACTTTTCTAGAAGTAAAACTCTTACCCAACTCATGCAGGTACTGAACTTTAGGAATGTCTAGAAAACGCTTGGAATGGCAGCAGATTGTCAGAAGACACAACAAATCTGAAAGGCTAAATCAAAATAGACTTCACAGACTGGTTGCTAATAATCTTCTAGTGCTTGCATGTGTTGACAGAGAGCCAGAATAATACATCAGATGCTTAATGGATCAGATGTTTATCTGATGTTTATCTAACATTTCTTGATCTCTGTACTTCTTCCTTACAGATAATCGCCAAGGGTTTTGCTTTGCTGAAGTTTTACAGACAATGTGTCAGATGGCTTCAAGCAGCCGGAATCTTGTCACTAAATCTGAGTGCTGCTGTGATGGAGGCCGGGGCTGGGGTAACCAGTGTGAGCTCTGTCCGCTTCCCGGAACCGCCCAATATAAGAAACTCTGTCCACACGGACCAGGCTATACTACAGATGGAAGAGGTATTTGCAGGGATGAAAAGAGGCAGAAAGGGAGAAATGAATATGCTCACGTATTTAAGAAAATGCAGAATTCTCTTTGAAGTTCCTTTGAAGAATTTCCTGCGAAAGAAGAGAGTTCGATTTTTCAAATGCTGCTGAGAGACCAGAAATTAAAAACACCTTTAAACAGTAGCTGCAACCAGAATACTCACAGCTGTGCAGAGTTTTCAGGGTTGGGATCTAAAACAGGAGTACCAACCAGTAACTAAAAGCTAGAAATGATCCCAAACCTTTTGTGTGCTGAAAAGATGCATATATGGCAAAGGCAACAACAGTTGTTCTAACAACAGTCTCACTGAATGCTTTGCAGTTACTATTTCCACACAGGAAGCAGAAGCTAACGTACATTTTTAAATTGTGGTGAAAAATTTTTGACATCACCTAACTGGTCATAAGAAAATTCACTTCTATGAGTTTTGTGTTTTGAGTTAGCAAAACTGGAACCTCATTGCCCAATGAAATAGCAGGAAGGTTTTGATACAAAAAACAATAAGGAAAGTTTGAAGGAAGTTTGACTTTGAATTCAGATCCGTTTTTAAAGAGAAAGAAAGGGTAAAGTTCCTATCAGAAGCATAATGATGAGGAACTGTGCAAAAATGAAAGAGAAGAAAAAAGTCAAATTTAAAACTGAAAGATGACATGTTTAATATTTTCTGTACAGATATTGATGAATGTAAGGTCATGCCAAACCTATGTAGAAATGGACAGTGTATTAACACTATGGGCTCCTTCCGATGCTTTTGCAAAGTTGGCTATACCACTGACATAAGCGGCACATCTTGTATTGGTAAGATTCAGCATCTTAATCAGTTATTTTTTTAATTGGTACATAATGATGTATCAACCTCTGTAAACCTTTGTATCAAAGCAGTTTTTTCTCTTTATCTCTTTTATCTCTTTTCTATCTTTCTTTTCCTAATATGCACTTCTGTTCTTGTATTTCATTTGGGGAAATCGAGAAGCAAGCTGTACTGGCAATATTCCTGCAGTAGAATGAGCACTAAAATATGTTTCAGCTGTATAACCATTTTGACTGACAAACCAGCTCATTACTTTGTGGTCTACATTTTCCCACTTTCCTGTTGGTTAACACATATAAGTATACCATAGTATGCCCCAAAATAAATACTTAGTCCTTAGATGAAAATATTAATGCCACTATCACTCTAGTATGTTACTCTTTCAATACACTCAGTTTGTCACTGTAGTGGCAACTCCATAGAAACTCCACAGCAATACATCCATAGAGAAAGCAATAGGAACTCTGAACAAACGTAAATTGGGGACTTTTTCTACAAACATTTTTCTCTTAAATACAGTGCTGTTTAGAAAACACCCTTCAAAGACAGACAAAGAAATCAGTACAGCAGATACTTAACAGTTTCTCTCTTTAGATCTTGATGAGTGCTCCCAGTCTCCTAAACCATGCAATTTTATCTGCAAGAACTCGGAAGGGAGCTATCAGTGCTCATGTCCTCGGGGCTACATTCTTCAAGAAGATGGAAAGACATGTAAAGGTAAAGAAAGTTATACATAGTAACTTTTAATTTTGTTGCACTTTGACTTAAAAGGAAATAGTTTTGAAGTGTGATATTTTTATCAAGTTAGACTAAATGTACCTCTTTTTTTGTTGACTTTTCTTAAGACAACAACATCTCTTACTTTCAGATCTTGATGAATGTCAAACCAAACAACACAATTGTCAGTTTCTCTGTGTCAACACCCTTGGAGGCTTCACATGCAAATGTCCACCGGGTTTTACACAACATCACACAGCTTGTATTGGTAAGAAAAACATTAGTTCTCTTGCATCAGTTTTTCTGTAAGAACAACATTCTCAATTCTCATTAATTTCTTTTGCTCTGTATAAACAGTAATAATACAGAGCAATAACGTCATCAGTCCAGAAAACAGATTTTGAAAAGCAACGATTATAGCTAAGGAAAAATCAGTCCATTTGTATTTTCTTGCTTAGTGAACACTTGTACATACTTAATACATGTTATTATATTCTAAGTATAACCACATGGAGACAAAGGGGTAAAGTATTAAAATCTGATTTAAAATGTAGTTAAACAAAAACAGACTGCATTTTCTTTTTTAATAGATACAGATGTCTTTAGATCTTAAGCATATGTATGACTCTTGCCAACTGAAACTACTTTAGTTCAGCTAATACAGAAGTGCAGCATTTTTCCCCTGTCAGCAATTACGTACCTGGGTCTTTTGCACTCACAACTGAATTACAACTTACACTTCCAATTTATTAATTACTCATAGCTCTGCATGGGTCATCAGGTCATCTGACATTTAAATATGAAAGACTACATTTTCAAAATAAACTGTTGCACCTCTCTGGATTTCAGCCTCTTAAGAAATGTTACATGAACATGTCTAAAATCATGCCACAGGATATACCAACCTTCTTCTCTCTCCTCTGCATTTTTAAGATAACAATGAATGTGGTTCTCAGCCATCGCTTTGTGGATCAAAAGGAATTTGCCAAAACACCCCTGGAAGTTTTACCTGTGAATGTCAAAGGGGATTTTCTCTGGATTCTACTGGATTAAACTGTGAAGGTAACTAGTGAAAGTCGATTTTTTTTATGGTGCAAATCCTTACTTCTGTATCTAGTGAATCCTGTGGTGTCAAAGACAGATAAAACAAAGCACCAGTCATAGTAAAATTAAATACCAAAAAGAAATACGAATGTATCTGAGTAATTTTAAGTATAATTATATGTAAAAACATACTGCCTGAGTGATTTTTACACAAATTAGAATAAAAAGTTACTTTTTAGCTGAACTCTTGAACAACCGTTTCCAGGCTGCCATTTCAACTTCACATAGGTTTATGCATCTAAAAGTCCAGTTTCTTCTTTTTCATTTTCATTTTCATACAGTCTAAACAGAATCTACAATTTTTGTTTCAGCTAATTGTAATCATCCACCTGAACGTATCTAAGATTAGATTCTAAATTCCGTACTTTAAGTCTTCTACCATAGAGGTAGACATTCAGAAGGGTAATTCACTACAGTTAAAACACGAATTACATTGTTGAGCTTCATCTCTCTCTGTTGGCCCCAAACGGATCCCTGGTCAGGAAATCTCTATTTGAGATCTCCAGACTCTTCAGTGGGCCTCAGATATTGAGCAAAGAAGAAATTAAAAGGCAGTACTAGGCCATCTGGCTGGTGAGAATTAGAAATGCAGAGGTATACGTGCACAAATTTATGACATCTCAAAATGTCAGCTACCTTGATACAACATTTAAAACAGGAATTTATATTTAGTGTTTCTAGAGTAACAGTGCAGAATACACGCAGGCAGAAGTTTTAGAAAGCATTATCTTCTGTCAGATTACTTTGTTCTTATAAAGTAGATACATCCTTATTGTGTACTTTACCCAGCACCTACGAAAAAAACCACTAAATTATACATATCAAAGCATTCACAAGATACGTGTACAACTAGCACATTAGAATTGCTCTATATGCAATTAGTGATAAAATGACAGCTTTCAGTTCCTGGCACGATGGTTTTCTGCACCTCAGGCTTTGGGACATCACAATTCCCAAATGTGGACAACTAGAGTATAACCTAGAATCTGTGATATCATGCATGATTTTTTATTTTCTACGAGAACTGCATACTGTACCTGACACATTAGGCTGCTTACAATCTGCTTACTTCTTATAGCAGACACTATTTCAGATGACAGTTTTTACATTTTGTTTTTTCTTTGTGGCTTTCTCCTTTATTTATACATACCTCAGAAACTTTTTAGATGGCTTTTTCTTTTTAATTGCAAAGGTAAGCACTTACATGCAGATTTGGTATGTATCCTCATATTCAAACACTTCAATATGTTCCAGGAAACTGAAAGCTTAGTCCTACATAGTTGGTTTGAAAACTGAAATAAAAAACATTCAGATACTAAACATTACATCAAAGCAACATCATGTGGGATTACCCGGAATAGTGTTTCTTCTCCAAATCTGAGTAATGTAAAGGCTCAAAAGCTCCGATCGGATTGTTGATAGATAGGAAGAACACTACATTAATTGACTTTCAGGCTTTCCAAAAGACCAGCCTGAGTGGTGCTTCCATCTTAAAGCAGTACTTCTCTGTCATAAATACTGGTGTTTCAATGATTATGGTCAAAGTGAGTAACGTATTTGGCAACGTGTATAATTGTGTGTTCTTTCATGTTCTACTTCTCTCCCGATTGTAAAGATGTGGATGAATGTGATGGAAACCATAGGTGCCAGCATGGCTGTCAAAACATCCTGGGTGGATACAGATGTGGATGCCCACAAGGATATATTCAGCATTACCAGTGGAATCAATGTGTTGGTAAGGAAACAAACAGCACAGAACACGTTTAAACAGCAAAGGTGTCATAGTGTTTATAGTGACAACTGCCAGGCAAGGACAAGAATGGACAGGACAAAGGGTATGCATACAAATGGTTTTTTCCTCTCTCTCCCTCCTTCCATAGACTTATTACTCCCAACATAAATCAATGACATAAGGTAACAAGAAAACACACTCATCCTGTTGAAACTCTGAGTGACAAGGAATTTTCCTAGTAAAGCCTAAATTCTCTCCTCGGAAAAATCCCCATTTTAGAAAGGTGGAAAGACGTTCATTGAATTCCTGAAAGCATCAATATAAATACCTCTGCCGGGGGTGGGGGTGGGGGGGGACAAAAGAAAAAAAAAAATCCCACCTTTCATCAGTAAGAATCACTCGCCATCATTAGCAATTTGAGAATACTACAGAATAGCACCTATGGTGAATGAGGAGAAAAAAATATCAACATATCCATTAAGGGTTTCTTACTTCCAAAATACAGTCTTAAGGCCAACATTAGTTCTTTGGGCATGGAACAGGGACAAATTAATCAGATCAGCAGTTTTATTGTAGGTTTGGCTCATTCAATCCATCATTTCTTTTCTGTGTTTCATGCACTAAGCTAACTCCCATCCAAATGAAATGTGGGCATTTTTTTTTTTAATAAAAAAAACCACACACCCAAACAACCCTATCCTGTACTGTCTGCAAGGCACCATAACATATTTACCTTTTCAAGTTTGCTTTCATGGTTCTCTGTCAATGGTGTCATAATCAGAGCATGGCTGTGAGCACTGCCATACATTTATAGGCTGATCTTACTGTCCTGATCCTAGACATATAAATTAGTTTATTAGACCCATTTTACATTAGTAGCACACTAGGCAGTTTTTCTGAAGTCCCAACCACCGTCATCACTCCTTACTTCGTACTGCTCTATAGCAAAGAAGGCAAAGGACTGGGGTGGGAGCAATAGGAACACACAACGAACAACTCCCACAAAACTCCAAACCAGCTACAGTCTCTGAATATTATAGATAGTCCTCAAAAGAATGTGTCTCCTAGTAACTGCAAGCAAAAATGGTAAAGCATGCACTAATGGTATTGGAGAGGAAAACACCTACAGGGAAACAGTACCTTGGTAAGATAAATAAAATAAGCAACATGTGCCAACTATCAAAAGTGTGATCTTCCATACAACAAGCTGCTTTCCTCACTCATTTTTCACAACATAGTCTGGTACCAAATCAGTCACACTGACCGGAGGAGTCATCTTCTTTGTATGTTAATTCAACACATGCAAGGTGAAGACAATACTTCCTTTTCTCTTTCATTTTGGTTGGTTATTTAGATTGTCTTTCCCCTCACAGAGGCTGCAGGTTTCTACTACAAGTATGTGCTAAAGTCACCCCATTGCTAGGTGGCCAGCAACACTATCATGGTTGGAGTATGACTGGAGTTCCAGCTCATTTCTCCTCTGTGGACCTTATATGGTAGGAGTGTACCCTGCCAGGGGAGGGAGAACCCCTAAGCAAAACAGGAGACATCATACCTTGAAGGAAGGGGGAGCATTGAGTCAATATAAGGTTAACAGTAACAGTACCCTAAAATGCCTTTACAGCCCAACTATATGTGTTTGGGACCTTTGCCAATGTACTTTTTCTTCAGAGACCCAAGTCTCTATGGCATAATGAGGTCAAGGATGTAGTAGAGCCCTAGGACTTGCAGATACTCTGGTTTGTTAGCTACATCATGCTTGCCTGATGTCTATCAGATGAAAAGATACCAATATACTTTTTTTTGCGTACTAGATGAAAACGAATGCTCCAATCCTAACGCATGTGGCTCTGCTTCTTGCTACAACACACTTGGAAGTTACAAGTGTGCCTGCCCATCTGGATTTTCTTATGACCAATTCTCCAGTGCATGCCATGATGTGAATGAGTGTTCTTCTACCAAGAACCCCTGCAATTATGGTTGTTCCAATACTGAAGGTGGTTATCTTTGTGGCTGTCCACCTGGCTATTACAGAGTTGGACAAGGGTGAGTATCTCCACACAGTCATTCATCAAAGACACATTCAGAAGGCTATAAAAAGGCTGGACCCTAGTCAGACTGAAGAGCAGAGGTGCAAATGAAGGACAGGCTACTAAGTCATCCTTTCTACTCCCTTTGCACACAATATCCATAAGATAGAAAAAAAGACATGTCTGTACATGCAGCATGACACTCATTTTAAATCTAGTATATAAGCAACATTAAGCGATTAGTTCTGCTTTCTCTCCCAGTATCAGCACAAGAACTCCTTCACAAACCTGCGCAATGAGGACTGTTCCTCCATAAGGATAGGTACCATCTGTACTGAGATAATTAATGGTTTTAAGCCACCCTGATCAACCCAGAATATCAAACACAAATTAACATTGTTCTGGTATATGACAATTTGTAATTGGCTAAATTCTTCAGTTCCAAAGTTCAAGGCAGGCTGGTTTTTTTCTGTTTCTTTGTAAAACTTGTAAATGAAGATTAGAAAAGCCTACAGGCCTTTAGCCAATGGTTGTATTTCATTCAGTATGCCACACTAGTGTCAAGAAAATTAACACATAGGCCTCCTGCTGAGAGAAGGGAAAGGAAGGGGATACAGACACTGTGGTACAGATTACATACACTCACTTTCCATTTAACAGGACAGTTCATAAAACTGCAAGAAGTAACTAAAACAGATGTGTTTATTCAACAGCCACTGTGTCTCAGGGATGGGATTTAACAAAGGCCAGTACCTGCCACTGGATGGAGATGCTGATGAAGAGAATGCTTTGTCCCCTGAAGCATGTTATGAGTGCAAAATCAATGGCTATTCCAAAAAAGACAACAGGAGGAAGAGAAGTGCTAATGACACTGTACGTACCAGGGTAAATAAGCACTATAATGTACTTTGAGGTATTTTGAGATACCACACTCAACGCTATCAGTAAATGGAGGGAATTTTTTAACAGGCCACATGCAATGGTGAAAATCTTTTTTCCCCTGCCTCAGTGGTTTTCACACTTGGGTGCTATTGGCAGGAGTGATGTGACAATCAGAAAGACATCAACAACTATGAACGGATGAAGTTTTTAAAGCTTGTAAAGAATCCTTTGTAGTGCGAGATGTGGTCTAGTTCCTCAAAATATATTCAGGGAAATAATTTTCCTATAATTACGGAGAGCTAGGAAACTGGTCATGTCTGCAATCTGTTCTACTGTGAGGAGGAGATTAGACAGCATTTTGTGGTCTGGGACAGCTAAATAGATCTTCTTGCAGATCATTTTAGTCTAAGTGTCTATTCCATGGTTGCTCACAGTTATGGGAGACTAGAGTCCATGACCTAGCTGATACACTTAAGTCCAATATTTGCAGAACTGCTGAGGGTATTAGAGAACTACATTTTGGACTTACATTTTTTCTTAGTGCATTTTGTGGGCTTATAAAAACAAGTTATGGGATACTCATGAAAGGACAGCCGTACAATTTACACCTTTTAGATGCTTTTTTCCAAAAGTTAGAAGAGTATACCCGTATTATCTGTTATCTGCATTATCTGCATGATAGGATGTTGTTTTGTAGCATTAGCTGTGGTCTTGAAATCTGCAGTAATGGGACACTGACTCAATTTAGTCCCCCTCAATTTAGGGGGACACACAGATTTTCCTTCAGTAGTACAAGAGCTGTGTAATGCGAACAGGCACAATGCAAACCCTCAACTAAAATGGTAAAGTGTGCTAGCCACACAAGTTACATTGAAAGAATGGTGGAACAAGTTTCCTTTCTAAAAGGGTAAGGACATTAAACAATCCAGAACCTCCAGCCTTAGTACACACTACTTTGCATGATGCCATCAAAGCCAGTTCTTGTATTGGCAAAATTTCTAAAGAAGAAATCAATCCTATTAATTTCTGCTCTAAAGGATATGACACTTAAAATGTAAATGTTTCATTTCCCCACACACATCTGCACGTCTCACAAACATCCCTTTTCCCTCCCCACCGCCACTCCCATTGGACCTGTTCCAGTCTGAATTCTGTGGTCAACCCACCTCAGAAATACATGGATGTTTTGAAAAGCATTTTTTCTATTGCACAGTTAATTTCATATCTAGTTCATAATTGTTATATCTTGTTACTATGTTTTTTTTATAGCATTAACCTTTTCAGATGTTATTACTAGAACATCGTGAGCAGTAGAAGTGAAAGGTTTCATATCCATAAAACTATGTGAAAAAAGAAATAATCTCATCACTAATGACATCGAGGGTGTGCGGTATTTAAGTAACTACAGTACTTGCTCCTGTCCACAAATTTTCCTTGTTTTCACCATGTGTTTTTAATTACATTACATATTAGTACACATATGCACTCACATGTGATTGGAATTCCCTCAGAGAGAGAAATCCTTTGCTATCTTTACAAGCATGAAAGGATCTTGATATATAGGCTAGATACCTCACAGTATGAGGTTTCCTGAAGAAGACTACAGCCTGTATGTTTTTGTAGACACACTTTCAAAAGCTGTTGCTTGTTAGATGGCTTTCCTAGGAATGCACTCATTGTTGCCCCCCTCCCCCAAGTGTGTTCACAGCTAACACCTCTGCACAGATTCACACCTGCAGCATACCTATACTGAAGCTCAAAGTAAAAAAGAACATGACTGATTTGTCAGAAAAACAATATGCTGGGACTTTTTTCCACACTCCAAATAGGATATAATTGGACAATGTGACATACAAGCCCTTTCTGCAGAAGGCTAACAATACAGCAGTTCTCCCCTTACTTCCATTTCCTTCGTAAGCACTGTACTTTCTCATCACCAAATGCTGAGCCTGCTTGTTTTTAGAAGCCAGGATTCATTAAAACAGTTTTACCAGAAGTTTCAGGGAATTCCCGTACAGTGTTGTGGTACGTGTTTCTGTAATGCTCCTCACTGAAGTTGATCATAAGAACAAGACTGTGCCTCACGAACAGTCTTTACTGCAGTAGTAAACATAGGTCTCTTCTTTACATGGACTTCTTGCAAGCATGAAGTTAAACAGATTCTGAAAAGAGCCTGAAGTCTGAGCCCCCTCTGTAGATGTGATGCTGTAACTTTAATTATCCTGTTAAGCCTGTGTGAGAAGCCTTTAAGATTTACAGGGTGTATTATATGGAATCAAGCAGTTCTCCCAGGTGGAAAGGATTTACAGTTGCTTCTTTCACAGCTAGATTTTGACAAATACAGAAACTGTTAATAATCAAGTATTATTCTTCTCTCAATGCAAGTGAATATCTGTTTCTCTCCTGCTCTAAACAATCTTTCCTTCTTTACTTCAGATGGAGAAGATTAGCTTGGAAAGTCTAGACATGGATAGTCCTTTGAAGATGAGAGTCAACACTTCCAGGCTTGACAACAAGGAGCATATCCTAGAACTCATGCCAGCCATTGAGCCCCTTACCAACCATGTGCGCTACATCATCTCACATGGCAATGATGATGGCATCTTTCAAATCCATCAGAGGGATGGACTGAGTTATTTGCACACAGTTAAGAAAAAGTCAGTGCCTGGAACTCACACACTGGAAATCACTAGCATTCCTCTGTATAAGAAAAAGGAGCTACAGAAACTGGAAGACAGCAATGAGGACAACTACCTCCTAGGAGAGCTTGGGGAAGCTCTCAGAATGAGGCTGTGGATAGACCTCTACTAGCCATCTTCCAGACTGAGTCCAGTTCTTCAGTCACTTCTGTTCACCTATCTACCCACCTGAGCATATCGGCTTTTCAGAGGCTTTGAAACGGTCGCTGACTTCTGTGGGAGGAAGGGAGAGGGGAAGACCTCTTTCTTTCCAACCTGCCAAGACTGCAGAACCACCCTTGCAGGAGGGTAACTTAAACTCTGCCACCGCGAAAAGTTTGATTACAAGGGCGATCATGGTTACTGTATCTTTTATATAACCTCAATTTAAAGTATATTAAAAAGCTAAAGTTCAAGGAGTCATCATATGGCACTAAATGGCACAAAAATGTGAGCTATTTTTTTCCTGTTAGCAGTCTGTAACACTTTGGGTATTTTGCTATAGTTCCTAATTAAAAAAAAATATAGAAGTTTATTTATTTTTAATGCAGTAATATATGGAGAAAATAACAAATTATGTAAACAAAAAGGGAAACTTGCTTGTTTTTCTTTAGATTTATAAATTTGAGCTATAACATTTTAGAGGTACTTTCTTAATTAAAAAAAAAGAGATTTGAAAGATGTTTCCTTTTGTATTTGGGCCAGTCATCCAAATAGTATATAAGTAATTTTAAAATGTATCAGAGCTGAAAGAGCACTGTAGCACATCTTCTGGATATTCTAAAGTGCTCTTGCAAAACTTTGAGTATTCAAAAAAAAGAAAAAAAAAAGAGTCTTAAAGGACAAGAATTACACTATCAGTCTCTGCAGAGATCATATTTCACAGCAGCTCAATAGGATTGTATTCTGAATCACCCACATCAAATAATGGAAGAAAAGGCACAACCACTGTAGCAAAATACCTTGACTGCTTTTAATACCATTAGAATTGCAGAACCAAACTGTACTGTACTTCCTTCCAAAACCTCAAGGAACCACACATTCAACCACACCTCATTCTCAGAAAGGGTGCTCTACAAACTTGCGTTACTGTAGGCAGCTGAAGAAAATGTCTCTCTGAAGGGAACATCTCTGAAGTATGATGTTTCATACTGTTTGGTGCTGGCTTGAATTAATGGTGCATTTACTAAGAACTGAGAGCTGTATCAGGACTGCCATATGTGCAAACTAATTATGCAGCGCAGACAAGGAAAATGCGTATTTGAAATCCATTTGTTAGAAGTTTCATTAATACTGTAGTTATACACCGTACGCCTCATTTTATCATAGCTTATTTTGTAAGAAAGATGTTTGTACAATGAGTTGACATTTAGTTTACTGTAGTATTTTTTTTTTAAATGTCGTACCATTATGTGTTAAGTGTATGTCTCAATGGTGCTTTTTTTGACAGCTGGTGCCTGTAACTAGTCATGTGACAGAATCTCATATGTGAAAATAGCCAAAGCACATGCTGACTCCAGGATCGTTTCAGTCGCGTATCAGTGCTGACCAAAGATTATATCAAGTTATACTCAGTGATTTTTCTTTTCTTTTCTTTTCTTTTGTTGAGTTTGGGGATTTTGAAAAGAAAAAGAAACTTTGTACATTTTTAATCAAATGTTTGTAAGAAAAAAAAGTTTTGTTTGAAGGTCTGTATCAGTAAGACAACACTTTTCTTGCAATAAAGCTTATTTTGGAGTAGTTCTTTTCTTTGAAATGTCTGTTCTTTACACAAAATAAGCATCTAATTGAAATCTGAAGGATTTCAGAACAGAAAAAGGAGCTGTATGGTGCAAACTCTTGTTCACTTACGTTTAAGGTTGTACAGCATTTGCTGACTTAGTTTCTCTATCTGACAGAGCTGAAACACAGGAATTAAACTGTCCCTAAAAAGTTAAAACTCTGCCTCAACTCTCTCAAAATCTGTCTCTCTCAATACACTAGGTTCAAGTGGGCTGGCCTTGCAGAAGGGTTTGCTTATCTATGTAATGAGGGCTGAAGGACCATCACAATTTAAGTTTGATAATTCCGCTCTAAAAAAAAATCTCCATACATTTAAGAGTAGGAGTGTAAAACCTCCATCCTGCCTGAACAGCAAAAATCTGGTAAGACCATCAATGAAGGTACTTCGCTTGCTGGCAGTCTCTTCCTTGAATGCCCTTCATTAGGTACACAATCAAACCCAAAAGTGCAAAAAATGTGTTTTCTTGAAGTATGCAAGGTTTCCACAAAGATCTCATTACAGAAGCTACACTGTCTTTTTATTCCATTCAGAGTTAAACTGGTGATTGTTTTTAAGTAATGGCCAATACTGACTGTATGTTTTTGTCACAGTGATAATAGCCAGAGAAAGGCAAATCAGACACGTTGGGTTAAGCACTGAATTAAGATGCAAAAGTGTTGTTTCACATGTACTCTTTAGTTTCTGAATATAATATAAGACTTAGACAGTCTGCTCCAGCAGAATTAGCCCTACATATTCTATTGCTGTTCTGAAGGAGTGGCACTTCACAAGTTAATTGCATTAAAAACCAGGTTGCAGGTCTAAGGTTCTAATCACTGGATGCAGTAACAATGAGTTTCACTAGTGTTTGAGAACTCTTTTCAGCATAAAATTGTTCTTCCCCATGCTTTCAGAGATCCAGGCTAACATACCTCTCCTGCCACCCTGCTGTCCCTCTCCTCTTCCCTAAAATATTCATAAAGTAATAAAGGAAATACAAGTTTTTAAAGGAATCATACACTTAAATTTCACTCAAGAAAGAAAATAATCAGGAATTATGACATTGTAATTGTTTTCATAATTACTGATTTATTTGATGGGAGTTACTTGCCTTGGGTAGTCCTTGAAACCTACATATGTATTCAAATTTATCTGACATCTAATAATGCATCGATTTAAACAAGACAATATGAAGTTGCCTGGAACCAGACTTACCTTCAGATATGGTCGCACAAATTTCATTATGATTCAAAGCTCCTTCTGGGCAAAATGACTGACGTCTACAGAAATAAAAAGATGTCTAGAGGTCTGATAAATATATCCAGGACAGCACTGACTTAGGACTTAACAACTCTAACAGCTAGTTTCCAAGAAGGCTTCTCTCTCTCCAAAATGGGAGCTTTCCAGGAAACACATACTGCATGGAAAGCCAACAGACTGAGCTCAGGAGAGCATTACCCTTTGTTGCCAACTCTCAAAAAAGGAGAGAAAATAGTAGCAACACTCTTACTAACGACTCCTCTGAGGCTATAAGTTCTGTAGGACTTTGTCAGTAGACGGAGATTATTTGCATGTGCTCTGCACACTTTGTAGATTTAAAGCCTTTTTTCTAAACAAGAAACTATCATCAGGTAACACCTGTGTTAACTAATCATACAGTAAGCACGAAGTACAAAAAATACCTTATCCCTTTACTAGAAAGGCAGCATTATCCCCTACCATCTTAAAATGCACAAGACAGTTATGCACAAAACCCAGAAAGAAGTCACCCCCAGTTTCAAATCCAGATGAAAAAATATCTTGGATTAAAAAAAAAAAAGCCCAAGCAAGAAACAGAGCCACTTCCTTTCCACCCAACCTGTCACAGTATATATTTGTATATCCATTTCTCCAAACTCTACCCTTTAATAGCCGCTAGCCTTTTAATTTCTAAATATTTAATGAGAAAGCTGACTGCACATGCTCAGAAAGACTAGTGTTCCAAAAAGCTACAAAACCCCAAAATCTGTTGCTAACAGTAAAATGAAAATTGCCCTGCTATTTAAGAGAGACTGCAGTATAAATCTTTTGGCAACTTTGTAGTTGCAAGATTGTAATTTGAAGCAAGATTGTAGTGAGTAAAGGTAACATCTAAGCTAGGCCTAAGCAGTGGGCACTTCACCAGTACACTCTAGCTATTTTAGCAAGTCTATGATACTTTCTCATTATAATAATTTTAAAATATATGTGTGTAAGTAATTGATAACCTAAAATTTCTTTTTGAGGAAAGTCTTTGGATTCTTTCCAGCTTTTCTGCAAGGATTCAGCTGCTCAGCTCTAGAACTCAACATCTGCTTTCCCAGCATGCCAGCACTAAATTTCAGCGTCATTACCAGAACCCCACAATGTTACCAGGACCATCAAAGCACGCATGCCTCCTTTTCTATCCTCAAATGCTCCAGAGTGATTGACCTCTATGTATGTGTCAAAGTGTCTAAAAAGTGTGTACAGACTTTTTAGGGCTCCTCCTTCTTCCTCAAGCATGGCTCCAATTCAATAGAGAAGGGAGTATTGCTGAGTCTAAGCGTCCAGTAATTACTTCTGAGCACATCGTATCTTTTCTTCATAGCCACACCTCTTAATCTAACCAGCAGTAATGCTACAGCAGCTCAAACACCCAGTTATTTCATGTTCCTTCTCTGACAGGAGGGGCCTGTAACAGTTTTTCACAGGCCAGGCTCTTCAGTCAGCATTCCCAGAAAGGAGTGTTTTTCTGTGGGATTTTATTAGACTGACATGGAATCAGCAGTTAAACTTTGGTGTAACGGATGTGGTCTGCAGACTGACAGTGAAGAACCTGCCTTTGTGCTAAACCCAAGAAGAATTCAGGAGTGGCAATGCACTGCAAAACTAAATACAGCAAAAATCACTGCCCTAAGTGTGTTTCTTAATTTTTCCCATGTGTTAAAAATGAAGCCTAAGCACCTAAACTAGCCAGTGCTGCAAAACAGACATGTCTTAAATCCAAGAAAAGGGCTGGATTTATGAACTTTCCTCTGAGGGGATGACGCTTCACAACTCTACATTCACACTTCTTAAAGCAGGAGAGAAGGAAAATGTGAGAGGGCAGAAGTACAACATTTTGTATCTAAAATAAAATCCTAGTCCCTAGTGCAACTGCTTATGTATTTGACACCAAACTGCTGTAGGAGAGATAGGAAGTAAGTTCTTTGCTCCCATAGCCTTACAGAAGTGGTGAAGGAGGTGGTTTCTCATGTGAACTGTGAAGCTTGTTCCAAGAATGCCAACTGTATGTCAGCATGGGTGGCCACAGAAATGTTTAACCTGTGTATTTGGACATGATTTTAATACAAGGTAGGCCTCTTCACTGCTTGGGCTTGTCAAGAATGAGGTGTTTCTAGCCATGGCCAAAACCAGATCTTGAGACACAAGGAACACCAGCAGAAACAGCTGGTGGTGTGCCATCACTGTGACAGCTCGAAAAGTACTTGTTACCCAAACAGGGGTTTTGAGGTTTAAAATTCTGAACTCCAAGGCCAAAGCAGGAGCTCAGCAGCACTTCCATGCATCAAAGGGTGTCTACATTGTACTACAGTATATCCTAAACAGACGTATCCAGAGCCAGCTCAAATCTAGTTAACCTTAGAAACCGCTGCTACAAATGACACCGTGAAGAAACGATGAAAAAGTGATAGAGTGAACATTACCCATAATGAATGAGAAACGCAGGAGTCTTCCTCAAGGGTCTGAACTCCAGTCAGTCGTATGAATAGCAATTGAATATGCTGAGGCACTAAAACTGGGAAGCATACACAGATCTGTAGTAACTTAAGGAAACAATACCCATGTATTTAAAAATATAACCATTCTCACTGTTTTACCAGCAGGAGTATTAAAGCACAGGGAAAGCTAAGACTGTCAATCCAGACAAGAAAACTGCTAGATTGGAGCACTAGGTTCCTACTTCATCTGAACCAGAAAAAAAAAAGACAACAGCACTGTAGCAGTTTTTTGGTGCACAATACCTTTTAAAATCGTATGTCTAAAGATGGTCTTACATAAAGTAAATCTGAAATACTTTTATTAAGTTTCTATTAACAGTAACATATCACCTATCTTTTTATTGCTGGCGGTATTACACTACTGCAGTTTTATCCAAGGCTGGTATTTCTGTACTGCTTATATACTTACAGAAATATCTGATATTTCTACACTTCATCCTATAGCTTTTCTTGCCCAATGTAGACTCAACAAAATCCTGTCAGTTGCCACTGAGATTTGCCCTGGGACAAGACTACTAAGAAGCTGCAAAAAGAAAAAAATTCCAAAACAAAAGAAAGAACATATAGCTACATAGCACATAGCTACAGAGACACTCCCTCCTCACTGCAATGAAGAGAACTGATGAGTTACTGTCTCTGCTACACCAGAATTTTGGAAAGATTTTGAATCTTAGGCCAGATCACCAAACTGACAGCTGAATACCAGATGTGTTCTCAAGGCGTGGCTTTGTGGTTTAAGCCAAAGAATACATATGCACTCAAGAAGACAGGACCCCAACCCCAGTATATTTATTTAGCAAAAATAATGCATTATATATCTAAGTGATGCAAATACAAAGGCCTAAACCTGGATCTCTGAATTCTGTAAAACAATTGCCATATTTCTAGGTCTTACTGTTCTTCA